TGCAGCAGAAAGGTATGATTTGCTTGTTCAGGGTGGAGGAAGCTTTCTGTTAATTATTCATCGAAGACTTTTTCAGAATGAAGTAGAATCAGAATGCAAAACCGGGACGCCGGGCTTACAATAGCATAGGAATAAATCCGGTATGCAACGCTGCACAATAGAAGTTTTTTTTGTTTTAATGTGGGAAACATGGAAATGGTTAAACCATTACTGGCAATTTTTGAATTTTAAGATGAAATATCAACTTTTGCTTCCATAATTTTCATTCAACAGCTAAAACTACAAATGCCAGTAGCTGTTACTTAAATAAACGCTTTAAAGTCGACCAACACTTTTTCAGAATACACTTGTTTGACATTTCATCATTTTAATGGAAAACATCTTTTTTTTTTTTTTTTAAAGATTGCTATGAAAATGTTTTTGATCTCATAATTAAAAAAAAAACACTAAAAAGCACCAATTTTCAAATTACAAATAAAAAAAAATATTTTGTCAATAGTGTTTGTTTGCGTTTTCATGCTGTAGAATTCTGTTATCCGTTTCTATCCAATTTCAGTTAAACATGCTCTTCTAAAAATCGGACCGGTAGACTCCAATTCTCCATTGTCTTGTTACCCGAAGGCAAGACAGACGCTGTCTGTGTTAGCAAGTGGGAGCCAGTACCACTGAGCCCATTAACATAGTTTTGCACTCTGTTGCCGCTCCAAACAGTCAAGGTGAAGTGTTTATGAAGTTCACTTTATCGTAAGTTGACCTACGTGAGGTCATCTGAGGGCTGTGGAGAAGGTAAAAAAACAAGTCGGGTGGGGGTAGGGTGGGGTGACGAAGAGTGTCTGGGAAACAAGTGTGATTCACACACTGCTGCTTCTTATGCGTTCTATACAGCCTCGGGCGGCACATGTGAGGGGGGCTTTGTCTGGGATCCTCTGATACCCCCCTCCCTCCCTCCTTCGTAATTGAACAACTGACTGTATCCGCTTGCAGGACTAATTAAGGCAGCTATTGTTCATTTTGGCTTCACACGACGATATCTTGGTTTCATCGTCTAAAATCCACACAGGTGGACGCATGCACACTCCGCACTCGTGTTCACGCTGTTTAACTTGCAGAAGCAAGTCGTTATTATCCGCCCAAGAGCCGACGAGAGCCTTTGAACCTGTGGCTATAGCGGAAGTGAAAGCCCAAGGTCACCGCACTCATCTCGACTTCTGCTTTCCATAAATCCTTGTAGTCGTGCTTCATGAGTAAATCTCAACCATTGAATCATTATTTACTGTATTATGTTTTAGTTCCATCGTTTTGTGTTAAATACAAACAAGACACTGACTGACACCCCCCGCCGCCGTTGCTACGATAGCTGAGACCTGGTGTGACCCGGACATCTGAAGGCTGCTAATGCAGCTGGCAGATGGCCGCCAGCGTGTGCGTGCATGTGTGAACACTCGTGTTTGTGTTTATGTGGGTCAAGTAGCCGGGCAGAGCAGCAAGTGGCTGGTCGGACCAACGGCTCGATGAGGGCATTGCCCCCCCCCCCCAAAAAAGCAGCCAATCACAACATGGGCAGCTGGTCACAGTCTCCACATAATTTGCTCACCTTTGCCTTCACTGGAAGAACACATCGAGTACTTGGAAGTACATTTTGCATTTGCCTTTCACACAGAACCCGGCAAAGGTGGAACATTGCCGCAGTTGTGTGCACTTTTCGTAAACGTTCATAGCGCTCTCGTGGTTTTATTGCCGGTGAACTTTGTAAAAGAAGCTTTACAATGAAGCGTCATTCCACCTCAGATCCGGGTCTGATACGAGCCCAGAAAGTTTTCAATTGCCACCTCGACACGGTTGCGCCATTCTGCGTCATTAAAGACAGAACAGCAGCAAGGACAAAGCAGGGAAAAAAAAGCCATCCTTTCCAAGCAGTGTCAAAGGGGCTTGGCATACCTGCCTCGATAACGGCTCGACCTCTACCTTGGAAGGCGAAAAATGACCAATGAACGTGGTCGTCAGGTCAACTTTGTTTCCCTCCATTCTGATATTCAAGTGTTAAATTGATATCCCGAAGACAATTTGGTCTTACAAGAAAACGCAAGTGGCCAAAAACGCTTGATAAAATTTTCATGGATTGTCTTATTACATTAGTGGATTAAACAATGGAAGTGGCCGACATATTGTTGAAATGCATTCCTTGGTGTGTCTTTCATCATCTGAGCTTGTCCGGACAGCTACGGGAATGCGACAATGGAGGCTGAGAGAAATATCGTCATCCGACACGCGGTGGGGCGATAGGGAAAAAAAATTAAGAAATAAATAATTGGGTGGGTTTGTGTGCGTGTTGTTTGTGCATTGCGAGGTGCGGCCATGGCAACCTCGGAATGACAGGAAGGGATTTGTGAAGGTGGATTTAAGGTGGGTCGGTCGAGCTGCTGTCTGGCTCTCAGAGGGCTACGGTTACATGAGGGGGGAGGGAGGGGGTTGCTTTAAGGGGGCAGAGGGGCTTCACCTTCATATTACTTTGTAAGAGTCAACCTGCGGGGAAGAAAGTCCCCAGGGAGGCGGGGCGTGCGCGCCTTTGTAGCAGGAAAAAAAAACGAAAGCACACGTTGGTCTGTGCTTTCATTTGGAAACAAGCAAGCATACACACACACACACACACACACACACACACACACACACACACACACACACACACACACACACACAATCGTCATCAGAAAAACTCTTAAAATTGAGTATGTCAGAATTTATCAAAAAGAAGTCAGCATGACTGAATCGGAGTGTTTTCATGAAAAAGTGCTTTTCTTTTTTTGGGGGGGAATTTACCACGAGAAGAAAAATCAGTTGATTAAAAAAAAAAAATGCATTACAATTTTACAATGGAACATTTATCATTTTCAAGTCAGCCATTAAGAGACTAAAATTTGAATTTTTACGAGAAGTCGTAGTATGCAGAGCAAAAAAAAAAAAAAAAAAGCACGATTTTTAGGGGATAAAACCGCAATGTTACGAGGAAGAGTCCACAGTTTATAGAGAATAAAGTCATATTACATGACAATAAAGGCATCCTTTTTACGACGGCCTTAAAACCAGGAACAAATGTGTAATTTTATGACAGTAAAAATGGAAAAAATATATATGAATTAAGTCATTTTATGAAGTCATAAATACAGAAGGAAAGAAAATACCACTCACTAAAAACAAAAATGATCATTTGAGGTGTTTTGGAGCCTGAAAACATGACAAAATTGAAACGTGGAAATCAAGTGTGACACCCCAACGAGACGCCCAGGATGCACATCGCGCGCTTTGAACGGCCGTCTGATGACACTCAACAAGCAAACAACCTTTTGCTGTCAGGTCAAGATGCTTCATGTTGCTATTTATTTATTTTAACGAGTCCTTCTGTGCTTGATGGCAAGCAACACGGTGAAGTGGACTGAAAAAAAAAAAAAAAAAAAGCACAATAGCTGCTTTGTTAATTAACCCTGACAAAAGTCTGCGACCTTCCTTGCTTGGTCGTTGGGTGAGAGGTCAAAACGCCGTGTGACGCGGCTCGATGAAGCCGCACCTCGAAATGACATTCTAGCACATGGTCACGACAGAGTGAAGTTTAAAATGTTATAAAACGCAAATTCTGCACATTTGCCTGGGCATGTCTATGACTTTGTAGCGCGCATGACTGATGATTTGCGTTTTTACTATCTGGTGAGTGAAAACATTCGCTTTTGATACATCAGACTGTAATTATCGAAAGACGACCACGAAGCAGACACAATTCACGTGTACAAATCCTTGAAGACGTCTCCAATTTCATCTGCACTTAAGCGCGTTTACGGGCAAAACAGGAAATCCTCCACTGCCGAAATGCAAATGAGGGCTCCCCGGGAGAATCGAGACAGTCAAGGTTGCAACGGCTCGGACAAAAAGGATTACCAGGAACACCGAGATGGAGGACGCAGCATTTGACTGCACTCTCAATTTCCGAGATAAACACACACACAAACCGTCGAGGACGTACGCACGGGAGTTAATCTGCCGGCTGCAAGCTATAAATAAAATTATAATCGTCTTGATTAAGTTGCTCCAATGGGAATTCTCTGGCCTTGTCCACCGGAGTGGAGATAGGGCAAGGGTCTATGTGATCTCCATAATGGCTGCCATCATTACAAGTCAATTAGTTGCCGCTTGCATTAAAACCCTCTATCTACTCCTCGCCAGATTCAATTTGAGGTGAATGTCTATTTAATAATTCATTCTATTATTTAAAAAAAACAAGCGACAACTGCAGTAAAAAATATATACATAAAATGCTTGTAAAAATCTGTCTTTCCACGCGACGCAAAACCATTCCGAGCTGACTTATCGCTGCGCGTTTATCCGATTGTAATGCAGAGCTGCAGGCCGGGAAACGGGGACAGGAAAATCTTCACAGTTCTCGGAGATGTTTCATGATCCTGGCTTGCCTCCAGCATGCCATGTTCACTTCATTCAAGTAAGTGTTGTACGACTAGTGATTTATTGATAGGCTGCATGCCATGTGACAGCTGCAAAGACTTTGCGCTGTATTTTCAAGCGCAGGTACTTTTGTAGACTATGCAAGAGTCCAACCGGGCCCAGGACATTCAAAGCATAAGGGAGGTCTAAAGGGGGGCGGAAGTGGCTTCAAAAACCCTTCCATATACATCCAGCTAAACGCCACATCAAAACACTTTTTTTATTTTAACTGCTTGTCATGTGTGGTATATTATTCATTGAAAGCATCCACATGGGAGCGATTAGGGCAACAGCCTTAGCAAGGACACAACGGAGCGCACGCAAGTTTTTGGGGTTTGTGTGTCACCAAATAAACACGGATGAAAGTGTAGTTAAAAAGAAAAAAAACCTCCTCCTTGGTGGAGGTAATAAAAAAGCCACGAGTGGTCAGACTGGATGGCTGCTGTGGGGCTCCCCCCCCCCCCCCCCCCCCCCCCCCCCCCCCCCTCCAAGCTGCTGCAGAGGATTCGTGCTGCACCTCTGCACAGCGCACACTCACATTCATTCACAGTCATTCAACCAAACGGCAGCAACGTGCACGTCTGCAAGCACACCAACGAGCAAAGCAGCCCACCGCCTTAAGAACCTGTCGCCTTCGGGGATTAGTCAACAAGGCAGAAGACGGATATAGTAGTGCTCACAGCACCGGGACTCGGGAGAGTTTCGAACGGACGACTTTTATTCCCTGGTCTAGTTTTGAGGGTTTTTTTTTTTTTTTTTGGGTTGATTTCTTGTTGCCAGGCAAAAACAGAAAGTCCGAGCAGGTAAGCTTCCGGTCATTTCTTGCTAATGTAGCTAATAATTCGTCAATAAAACACGCAATGTGTACACCTCGTTTAGAGTCACTCAAGTGTCTTAATCGATATGAAAACACGTTCAAAGCCCCACGCGTGTGGCGTTGTTTGTTCTGTTTTTTGTAATGGTTGAAGTTGTACTCGCGTCGTCAACACTTTTTTGATCGTTTGTGGATGACGTCACATAGGTATTTTGCTTACTTTTTGAAAAAAGACAAAAGGCTAATTCGACTTGCGTACGCGCTCCATTCAAACGGAATTGTGTTGCACTTTAAAACGGGGGTGGGCTCATCCAACAAAAATGTCTGAATAAGCTTCTTCCGAGTATAAGACAGCTGTGCTGGACATATTAGCCATTAATAACACATTGTAATGTGGTCATTTAAATGATTTTTAAAAAGGTTCCTATTAGAAGCGTTTTTCGAATATTTCCATTTTAATAAGCACTCAAAGCAACACAGATTTGATTTGTTTTCAGTTGAAACACATTGTTTGATGTGTGAAGCTGAGAATCCACCGACATGCTATTGAGCGATTATCTGTTTACTCTGACATTTTTTCAATTGTGAAAAAATGTACGTGCAGATGACATATTCACAGCGAAACCTGTTTGCACAGACTTGCAAAAATGACTGAAAACGCTGTAATTAACATGCCAGGCCACTAGTTAGCGATGTCACATTGTCAAGTATCTTCCAACGCCATCTGTCAACATTCTGGCAAGCACGATGGCCTCCTGGTGACGTCTTAACACAATCATGTTTGTTACTTTGGACATTGTCGTGTGACTGAACTTTTACAGCTTTTTTTTTTTTCATAAGAGGAAGTGAGAAATATTGGACCTTGAGCTTGAGGAGGCCTGGGGAATGTAGACAGTGGGGTCTAGCTGTCGTCAAACAAACTTCCCTGAACATGTCGGCGGACATCGGAATGACCCAAATAGGGACATAGCAGGAGTTTTTGTTTGGAGGCAAAAGGGCAGACTAGGCAAAAGGTGTTCTCCGATGATTCAAAACAGAAAGGTGAAAGATGTTCTTGTCATGTTTAACGTTGTTGTCATGTCAACGATCGCTAAATCAAACTCAACTGACAGCGGAAAAGCAGAAGACAGTGAAACCACTTCAAAAACCACAACCAAAGGAATGCCAAACCCAAATGTGAGCTCCTTCTACACAGTCAGCGTTCGGTTTGGACTGGATTGCGCTAGGTTGATAGGCGAGGCTCTCGCTGTCGTCATAAACACAAAACTAAACAAACTTCAAGTGAGTCAGGCGAAAAAAAAAAGTCAAATGTAAACATGAATTAATTATTTTGTTCAAAACCAGCAGGAAGTCGCCTCCTTCCCGAGTCCACACAATTGTGCTTCTCTCCCTGTAGGCTTCGGGATATCCTTCTTGCATTCTGGAACAGGTTTGCGAGTGTTTTTGAGAGCTGCTCTAATAAGGCTTGTGTGTCATTGCAGCACCTTGTTGAGAGGTCATTAAAACGGGGTGAGGAAAAATAAAGAGAGATGCCGGGCAACAAATGATCCTTGTGAAGTAGTGTTGATCCTGTCGCTGTCGCTCCTGTTCAACAGGAGGAAGGGGGGGGGGGGCTTTGTTTGTGCAAGGACGCTCGCACATGTGCTCTGACTCTTGAATGTGTTTAGAAGAGGAGGAGGAGAGGAGTTTTTTTTTTTTTTTCCAGGGTGTGAGATTCACCCTGGTGAGACTTGCGCCTTTTTGACATTCCTTACATTCCGACCTCCGGGATGTTTGAGGCTCGTCCGTCTTCTTGCAGCATGTCGGGGGCTGCCAATGACCCGGCAGGGCTTTTATGTCACCAGGATTCACAACAAGCCTCTCTCTTTTGCCTGCTCTATTTTTTTTATTTTTTTGCTGCAACAGACAGCCTGTGGCCTCTAATTTCGAAGGCCACGGGAACAAGAAATGCCAGCACTTCTTATGTTACATCCGCAGATGACATTTATATCCTAATGGATGACTGCGATCAGGCTCCCTTGTTGCTGTTTTTACATTGGAAGTTCAACCGTAGCCAAGGGAAGCCGAGATGATGGATCGTTTTCATCTCCAATAGCAGATTCCAGTTATAGTGACACCGGGCACCAAATTGTACACACCTCATAAATACTCTCCTCCTGCATTTGCAGATTTTTTTTTTTTGTCATGAGACAAATTGAGTTCCCATTGAGTTCTCCTGGATCCGCACCAAATTGAATGGGTTTGTTTTTTTATCCCGTCGTCCCAGTTCGCCACAAAATTTGAGTTGTTTTCACAAAATCCTGGTAACCATGGCGACCAAACACGGGGAACTATGCATGATATGATTTCTGATCTAGTGTACATTTATATTTGACTTTTTTCTCTGAAAACGTGTTTCCTTCTTTTTATATGTAATACACATCTGTTGATTCCTTTTCAGTTACATTTTGATATGATAGAATGATTAAATACATCATTAGTTAACCCAAAAATATTGCTGTCGTACATTATTGGCATTTCTTTTGTTGGTTTATAAAAAAATATACGTGAAATGTTATACTGCAATATTTCAAATTTCAATGTATTTAATTTGCTACAATAGCAAAATAATTTGTATCCGTTTTCAGGTAAAAGCGTACACAGTCACTCGTATATTGCATCAGACAAAACTGCTTCATGAATATAAAAATAAAAATACATTTGCAAGACCGAATAACTGACTTTGATGTGACATCATACCTCTATATCACCATCATAAAGCAAAATTAGCACCTTGTTGCTTTGCCCCAATAATAGCTGTGTTGCTCCGAAGATGTAGGACATATGTTGAGCAAAATATACCAGCTGATTTCAAACCGATGCCTTTTCCCCCCGTCCTCCTGATCCACCACAACCTCGGCAGCCATGAGAGCGCCTCCCGCCCGTGCCGCAAGGCCCCACCGCCACTTCTGACCTTCCGCTGATCAAGCGAAGCCGAAGATGTCAGTGTGCAGCGACTTTGCAGAACACGTGTGGAAACCCGGCTCCTGCAAGAACTGCTTCCACCAGCTCAGCGCGCACAAGACCGCAGGCCGCCCGGCAGGCGCCGCGCCCGCCTCTGCCGCCGCCGCGTGTCTGAAGGGCGGAGGCGATGACGACGACGAGGCAGTGACGGCACCTTCACCCTACAGCAAACCCACCATCGCCGTCAAGCCCACCATGATGAGCTTGGACGCTGGCGACTCGATGGCTGATGTCAACATGAACATAGAGCAGGTGACTTTCTTGAACTGCGTGTCTGTCATACTTTAGATTTGTCTTCCTTGACCATTTTTTTTTTTTTTTGTGCGTGTGTGTTTGACAGAAGAACACAAAGAGCCCAGTGGAGCGTTTGGGCCTGAAAAAGATTATGGATCTATCCTCCCTTTATATTGACAGTAGTAACTGTAATAAGAGCCTTCGAGATTCAACTCTTAAAAGTCCGGACGCCAAGACAGACTTTTGCTTTTCTTCATTGTCCAAAGACTCCATGATCATTAGCAACATGTTGGTCACCCAAGATGAAGGTAAATGTCCTCACAATGTCAATGAAGACACCTGTTGGCAGCAGAATAGTAGCGCCTCTCCCACCATTAGCCCTTGTAAGTCCAGTAGTGCAGTGAAGAGAGCTAATTTTTTGTGTCAGAATTCCATGGAGAAACCTTTTCCTGCAGATATTGGCCCGACCAGTCCTGCCAAATCATATAACAATGGCATCACCTATAGGAGTACTTCTGTGGTAACCGCTAAGACATCTAGCACTTCTGCCAGTCCCTTAACCTCAGCCTTATCTCTGGACACTCTAAATCCCAGTCAGCCATCCATCCGCTCTCCTCCTGTCCTGTCCAAACAAAACAGCCCATTAGACTCCTCCTCTTCCTCCTTTGGTAGCAGCACAGATTCACTGCCTGCAACTGAGGGTTCTGTTGGAAGCCCTCAAAGCCCACAAGTGACGGGCAACTCGGTTCTTAGTTCCCCCAGTGGTCCAGACTCGGAGCCCATCTACGCAGAGAGCACCAAGAAAAAGCGCAGGCCGCAGGCTAACGGGGCGCAAACCCGTTTGGCTTCCCCAGACCAGACCGACAACTCTGAACTCTCGGAAGAAGGCCAGCGGACAACCATCACTGTGATGGCTGCTCACACGGAGGAGAACAACAGGACGTTTTACCTGAGCAGCCCCGATTCAGCCATCAGCACACGGTGCCACTTTAGCCCCACGGCACGCAAGGACCCCAGCAGCACCGCCTTCCGCTGGCCCAGCCCCAGCCGCAGTGCCCCCTCCTTGGTTACAGAGCCCAGCCTCGTTCCCTTGCTCCACCCCAGGCCACAATCCAGCCCTCCCATTCCACCAAAAAGGACCACCCGGTCCCCCAAACTGGGCACCTCCAGCCTCTCACCATCCATCTCTTCGCCCGTTCCCCTTCCAGACCTTTCCAGACTGAGCACATCGAGCCTCTCTCCGTCCTTATCGTCTCCCGTTGCCCTCCCCGAGCTCTCCATGCTTTTCCTGGTCTCCGCCAAAGAAGGGCACTTCAAGAGCCAGCCGGAAAACCACAGCCCGGCAGCATCCGAGCGCTGGCCCAAGCACCACCACCAAAGCTCCACCTGGAACTGTCGTATTGACGAGGAAGTGGAGGAGGAGGAGGGAGAGCGGAAAGAGGCTGAAAAGAAGACGCTGACTACTAATCCCCAGACAACATCTCGTGTGACAGGCCCGGTCAATGGCGCTGCTGTTTGGAAGGAGTCCAGAGTCTGCAACAAGGCCTCGAGCAGCCCCCCTCCGATGACAGAGCCAGGCACGGTCCCCCCGCCCCTGACCAACAATGGTGCCTGTCAGGGGGACGGCGAGGGTGCCGTCACAGTGGAGGAGGCCAAGCGGAGCGGGAGCATGCCGGCCAAGCAGCACGAGAGCTCAACGGCGCTTCTGGCAGCGGGGAGGCAGGGATCGGCCAGCCATGAGGCCAATCAAGCACCTCCACCGCCGCCACCCAAGAAACAGCACAGGTAAGAATGAACCTTTCAACATTCTATTGGACGCTACACGTAGCTGTTTGACTGCAGAAGTGGTACGGAAGGAGTCCGTTCACTGATGGTAAAATGTTTCCAGTGTTTCAGTTACCCCATTGACAAGCCATTGCACCCAAAATTTCTACGATGTGAACAAAATATATGCATTCGGGTTCTCGGTTCCTATTGGGAGTTTTGGACCGTGTTGACTTGACTGGTAAAATCGCGGCAGTTCCGAGAGTCGACTTAAAAGTCAGGGAATCAATCTTCCAGCATTTACCCAAGATCAGCCAAAAATCGGGTCTTCAAGTATAGTCATTGTCAGAGAATCAATCTCGGTTCGAAATTGGACACCCCTTCAATGAATGACATCCGACTGTACTTGAAACTTGCAGTGAGACAAATGCAGCCCAACATAAACCGTCCTATTCAGAACGCAAATTGACATTCCCGTCCTGCACTGTTTCTACCTGTGAATGTGCATTCGCATTGAAAGGCACCGCTTGGCTTTCTTTGCGCATCCGACATCATTTAGCACTCGTGGCAGGCACTTGTTCCTGACAGCGTAAATACACTTCGCTCACTGATAGGATGTGCGAAAGTGTTGGCGCCACACTCACTGTGCAGCGTTCTTTCGTCTTCATTCAGGCAGTTAGCGCGTCCCTCCCCAATGCACCGCTTGTTCCATTCATGCTTGTAATGTGAGTTTTTTAAGATTGGAATGAACGCGCTCTTAAATGCAGACCTTTGTTTGGACTGCAGCGCGATAGAAAAGAGGAGTCAATGATAAACGGTTGTAACTTTAGCAGCGGAATACAGTAGCAGTTCCAAATCGTAAACGCTTTCTCTCGCTACCAAGACTGTTCCGAATGATCGCGTTAGACATTGCTATGGCCTCAGCACCGACCAAAAGCACTGAAAAGGTGAGTTTTCGGCGAATCACGGAGGAGAGCCTCTCCACAAAAATCCACCAGTACGCAAATTCACCCATGCACGATTTCACTGTACTTTTACTGGCGGCAAACAAAAAAAACAGCAATATCGTTTCCACCCTTGAATATTTACTACACCGCTTCTGCGACAAGCATTTCTTTGAACTGTAAAACCACACGTAAATGGTGTTCAAAAGCGGGACGCTGGCCTTATCATCAACCCTTTGTTGGTTGTGCCTTTTCAGTTTTTCTTTGAGGATTTTTTTGAGGTCATGACCCAACGAGTTGATGCGTTTGCATGTGCCCTATGACGCATGAGGACGCGTTGAATCATTTAAGAGCCACAGATGGTTCCGCACGCGGGGCTATGATAAGATTACGCTGTAAAAAAATTCACTTTTTTTGTTGTTGTCATTTCTAGCTTGGCTTTTGCCGTTGCTTCACGCTAAAAGTCGTCTGCGGGGGTGTGGGGGGGGGGGGCGGGGGTGGTACATGCGCTCTGTCTGAAGGTGTCCAATATCGTAAAAGGCTTCTCGTGCAAGTCAGCTGGAGGTAGCCAAAAGGAGGGGCCTCTACTGAACAGCTTGTTGCCTGGGGCAACGCCCAAACTGTCCCTCTCCACCAGTGACAGTGTCCCATAAATTGAAGTAGAATTAATAGATCAGGCGTTCGTCACTCGCCATGTGAGCGCTCACCATTACAGGAGCGCTTAATTTGGGAGCTTCATATCCAGCTCGGACCCGGGCGGTGCCGGGTTTAGGTTACATCTTAGGCGGGGTCTTTAGAGAGCCACCCGGCTGATCCTGAAGCGTGTGGTTTATTTTGAGTGGGCGGAGCCTGCCAGCCTGGACTCTTCACGATGAGGTAGGAAGCTTTGTTTGAATTGCGGCTGAAGGCTTCACCGGTCCGAGCGTGAGCCACATCTGTACACGCTTCACTGGAATCCAGCATAAGAGATGGAAAGGCGGCGGGGGGGTCGTTTTAGCAAATCGGTTGATTGGGCTTCACAAAAGGCTCATAAAAGTAAGAATTCTATGGACAGAGGACAGAAAAAAAGTCAGCTAAATTTCAGTTTGAACATGCAGATTTTCACCACACCACAATCTTAAGTTTAAGCTCCCTTGACTTATTGTTTGGCTTTTTCAAAACCGACTCTAAAAGCAAGAACAGTGGATCCTCAACAGTCGAAGGCTCCTGACTTTGTATCGTTTGTCATCAAGCTTTTTTTTTTCTGCTGCAACTCTTACTGATGATCTTTTATCAAAGCTTCTCCCGAGCTGTTGCGTCACGGTGTGTGAGTCAGCCCCAAATCTTTCCAAGCTCCACCTTGCTCCCAATCCCATAAAATGTGTCATATTCAAGATCAGGCCCTAACAACGTCACACACACGCACGCACACACACACGCCTCTTTCTTTTGTCACGCTTTAGTGTGGTAGCGCACTTTCATATCATAATCGTCTTCCGTTCATATCTTGACACTGTTGCGCAGGGCAAAGTAAGCAATGTGTCATTTCCCGCTGGACGCTGGTGTACGCTGTAAAAAGCGGGTGAGTGCGGTCACGGAATTGCAAATGACAAGCTTGCGTGGCGTCTGTTTATAGCAAAGGAAGTGTTGGGATGTGTGAAGAGGAAATGTGCAATTAGGATGGCCATCAAGTGCCGTTTGGGCTCAAAGCGGGCATCCCAAAAATAAGCGGGAATAACATCCTGCCTAATTGTGCGATTTGGTGTCGTGCCTTTTCGTTTGTGGGCTTTGGAAATTGTCTTTTTTTTTTCTTTTTTTTTTTTTTATGGTTTATCGACACTAGCTTGTTTATCTGTCATCATTTTTCAAACTCAACCTTTCTCAAACTTCCGTATGCTTACTTGGAACCGTTAATTGTTGTGTTATTTTTCCATGACATCAAGTAGGTGTCATGAAAAAAACTCAATGGTGCCTGCGGAATATATCGTAGGGCCATGTTCGCCCTCCCACGGCTAACCGGGCGGCGTTCCGACATTCTTTCCGCAAAGAAAATGTCGTGTTTGGGAGACATATTTGTCCATAGACGTGCACGGGCAAGTCTCTGCTAGTCGTTCGCCGATTTATGGCAGGATTGAAGGCATGAAGGCCATGAGATGAATGGAGGCATGAGTCGGTTTTGTAACGGAGGCAAGTGAGGAGCGAGTGAGATAGAAGGCTGTGGGCTCCAGCCATTAGCGCCACTGATTAGACAAGTGGGGGGGCCGTCACTCAGTTTAATCGGCTGCCTTGATTGGAAAGTCGGCGCGTGCGGCGTTTTCAGAAGCGGCGGTGAGAAGTCGGACGATACGCACCCTGTAACCTGATAAGCTGTCCACTGTAGTAATCGCTGCCCCCTGAAAGGGTTAATATAAAAATTGGTTTAAAAAAAAAAAAAAAGACAAAAATGGCCATACGTGTTTTTCCCAAAACGGCGACGATACGCAACGACGCAATGTTTGACCGCTCTCTTTATTTGTCTCCAACCACAGAGTGTCCGGCCACTTGAGCGGCAGCAACATGGAGCTGAACCGCTTGGCCCAGCTCGGCTCACTGGAGAGTCCCGCCACGTCCCCTCGAGACCTCGGCAGCGCCGGCTTCCCGTCCGCCTCCACCGACAGTCTGACTGCTGACGCCGCGGGTGAGTGGCTTTGATCGAATGCCGCTTTTTTTCCCCGCTCAGCAGGGACCGATTACTAGTCGAAGAAGCAGGTAGTGCTCGGTGAGCCGCCCCTGAAGAGTCACTTTTTCTTGATACTGCCTTTTGAAAAGTAGGACACTTGCGGCTCGGCCAAGCGGCCGCCCTGGCCGAACGCCCGAGGCGGCTCGTCTGTTAGCCACAAGCCGCTAAGGCCGGCGACCGGCTGAGAGATGTCAGATTCGAGCAACTCTCGAACCTGTAATTACAAAAATATTGCCGCGCCCGTAGGCAAGTAGATGCGTATTTCCTTTTTTTTTTTTTTTTTTTTTTAATTTGACATATTTTGTAGAATAAATACTTTGCAGGCTTAAGTAAGAAAACTTGATTTTGAGTTCCACTTTAATTTCGATATTTTCCACCGGTGTTTGCTTCCAACTTTGTGTTTACCTCGATGGGCGGACACCGTATACGAAAAGTAGTTAGCTCGGTCTTGATACGCGAATGGAGAAGTGTTGCTGCCGTTTGACTACACTGATGCACTTTGTCCAGAGTAAACCTGCAAAGCAGACAAGTCGAAGAACTCCCAAGGTTTTATTGCGGCTGTCTGTCATCTTATCTCTTCCTCTTTCACTCGATGTTGTGACTGAGACCCGCCGCGCAGAAACCATTTTTAGTACCTCGCCAAAGACCTGCGACCGGGAAGAAGCAGCGTGTCGCTTATGTTTTTTGGGGATGGAAAAAAAGTCTCTTGCAATTGCTGTGACTTCCTGGCTTTCAGCGTTGTTTGAAGAGATAATTATGGAGTCTGATAACGGAGGGAGGGGGAGGGGAAAAGGGATCGGCTACATCCTCCTCGCAGTTACTGGAGCCGCGGCGCACAATTATCTCAGTATCTGACTCCTCCGGCACTAAAAGTCACCGCGTAGTCTCGATTCGCCGATGTCTCGAGCGTGGACGGAAGACGGCGTTTGGAATTTCGGTAGGAGTCCCGCACTGTGGAAGTTTCCAGTTTTGTTACAGGCAAGAGGTAAGGAAATCGGAACTGAGATTTGTCGGAAGAAAAGTAAAATCTGTGGAAAGCGGACATCCGGATCCGACGGACGCTCGACTGAAAGCGCAATCTCCCGTCTCTCCTCAGGCCATCGAGACGGATCGCGGTTGTCCTGCTCCTCCCCGTTCCTGAGAAGTCCGGCGGCGTCGTCGCCCGGTTCTCCGCGCCCGCCCACTTTTAGCATCACGGCCAACCAGCCGCCTCCGCTGCCGGAGAAGAAGACGGTCAGCCGCACCGTGTCCGCCCCCGACAGCGCCGCTTCCAAAGCCTTTGTCCGGGCCTATCCACGCCTGCCGTTCAGCGGCTCGGAAAACAACGTGTGCAGACCCAACGACTCGAGCTGCCGGGCCAGTTTACCGTCCAGTCCAGTCGACCAGAGATCCATTTTCTCCTCCAATGAGTCTCTGGAGCGCTGTCACGTGCCACTCGGCCGACCCTCCAGATCCCGGACTTTGGACGAGCCTTTTAAGGGTCACGGTCGTTTAGGCGTCCACTGCCGCAGTAGCATCACCTGCTCCTCCTCCCCTCAGCTCAGCGCCCCCTTTTCGGGCTCCGAAACGGGGCCGACATCCAACCTGGGCTCCAGTTTGCAGCTGCAGACCCTCCTGAGCAACATGGACAGCCGGGAGGGCGTTTACTCCAAGCTGGGCGGCTTGTACGCCGAGTCCCTGCGGCGCTTGGCTCTCAAATGCGAGGAGCGCTTCGTGGGCTCGCAGAGAAACCGGCTGAGGTTCGAGGAGAGCAACTGGTCATTGTTCAGGCTCACGTCCAACAAGCCCAGTTGCAACGCGGGTGACGCCGTCTACTATTCCGCCGCCTGCGCTTCCGATCCCGGCAACTCCTACGCCGTGAAGGTAATGCGCAAATACACGATTTGTTTTTTTGTCTTTGGGGTGAGGGCAATTTAGGCGAACCTGAGCTTCGCTGGGGTTGATTTTCAGGTTAAGAATGGTCAGCAGATTATAATCGGGCACGGGTTTTGTTTGTTCCAGGACTTCAGATGGGTCGGTGCCACTAGGGCGCACAACACGGCTCCAAAGTAAACACAAGTGGAAGAGGGGCGTGTACTCGGTCGTTAGTGGCTCTTTGTACAGGATTTGAAGCTGCGGCCCGGATGCCTGTCGGCTCGCTCATTCATCTTCCGGTGGAATTTACAATCAGATAAATCCTGAAAGACCTCAAATCATAGTCCAGCCCCTCATGTCTTACTACCGCTTGCTTGCTAAGAAGATGTTTTCAGAATTGGTGCCGCCAATCTTGAGGCCGTGCCTCGACCAAACTCTTGTGTTGGACCACTCATGAAAATATCAAAGTTTTGATTAGGGAGGGGGGGAAAAAAAACACTCTTACCAAGTCCCACACGAGATAATCACACAGGATAATCTTTGACAGACATCTGCTATTCGGTCCTTGAGCTAACTTTTCGAAATGCACTTTTGGGCTTTGTAGTTTTTTTAGGTTGCAGGATTCAGTCCTTCCGCGATGGCTAAAAGCTCAAGTCCGTCCGTGGCTTGGATGAAGGATTTGCGATTGAAAACATTGAACAGGTTTAACTTTTTTAATTGGCATTCTTGACTGTTTTCCGAGCAGATTGGGAAGGGGGAAAAAAAAATCCACTTGCTTGATCGGATCATGTTCATCGATGCATCAACAGCATTGATTTCGCTTGAACGGGAACTCATTGGGCATTGACCTTGAAAGCTTGCTAAAAAGAATTCCTTTCTTGCGCGTCGTCTTGGCTCCCCTCCACCGTTCGTTTCATCTTCCTTCTCTCACTGCCTGCTCCTCCTCTTCCCGCCTCGCCAGATCTGCAAGAGTCCGTCGGCGGAGGCCAAGCAGGGCCACCTGTACGGCCTGTCGGTGCAGCAGAGTATGCCCGCGCACTTCAACCTCCAGCAGGACTGCGGCCACTTCCTGGCGTGCGTCCCTCCGAGCATGCTGCCCTCCGATCGGGCGTCGGCATCGGCGGCGGCGGCGGTGTCGCTCGCGTCCTCGCCCAAGCCCCGCGGCCAGCAGGCGGAGCGCGAACAGGTGGTGGTCATCGCGCCCGAGATCCCCCGGCAGACGGCGGCCGACTTCGCTCACGAGTTTGAGGCCTTCCACAAAAGCCAGCCGGAGGTTTACGAGCGGCGCGTCTGCTTCCTGCTGCTGCAGCTGTGCCACGGCCTGGAGCACTTGAAGGAACACGGCGTGACGCACCGCCACCTGTGCCTGGAGAACCTCCTCCTGGTGCCTCACTCCCCAACGCCGTCCGCATCGCAGGCCCCTCAGCAGAGCGAGACGAGCGGCGCTTTTAGTCAGCGTCACCTCCCTCGCCTGCTTATCAGCAACTTCGCCAAGGCCAAGCGGCGCTCCGCCGAGGACGCCGCGTCCACGAGCGCCGATCCCCGCGTCAAGCGGGACCACGCCCGACTGGCGCCGGAGATCGTGTCCGCCGCGCAGTATCGCAAATTTGACGAGTTCCAGACGGGCATCCTGATCTACGAGCTCCTCCACCAACCGAACCCCTTTGAGGTGAGCTCTTCGGGAACATAACGACATTTTTTGCTTCGGAAATGGACGACATTATCCTCAAAGAATGACTTCTCCAAAATGCACAACTTTGTTCGAGCCACGATTTCAACTGTGTCACACTGAAAGCCGCAGGGGTCAAAAGTTAGCGAAAAAAATTTGCAGTTTGTAGTCCGGAAAAATAAAGTTGTACAATTCTGATTTGAATCTCGTGTTTTTTTTCCCTTTTGGAGGTGAGTCCGGCCTTGAAGGAGCAGGACTACCGCTGCGAGGACTTGCCGGCCATCCCGGCCGTGTCGCTGTACTCGGCCGGCCTCCAGAGGCTGGCTCGCCTCCTGCTCCAACCGGACCCCATCAAGCGCATCCACATCCAGGACGCCAAGCGCGTCCTGCAGAGCCTCCTGTGGGGGCCCCGGAAGGACCTGATGGATCAGCAGTGGGAGAGGCGCGAGCCGGACGGCGCCCGGCACGAGGGCCTCCTCAACTGGCTGGACGTGAAGCGGGCACTGCTCATGATGAAGTTTGCCGAGCGGTCGCTGGAGCCCGAGCGCAACGCCGAATTGGAGGACTGGCTGTGCTGCCAGTACTTCTCCTCGGCGCATCCGCTGGCGCTTTGTCACACCGCCGAGCTGCTCTACTCACTAAAGTGACGTCGCGCAGGTACTTTGTGGACCCTGACTGAGGACGTCATGTGCTGTCCCAAAGTGGAGTCTCCCAAGGTTCTGTCCTCGGTCCCTGCTTGTGTTAACTTTTGAAAAAAAATCTGCAGTGCGTCCCAATGACATTTGTCTTGAAGTGTGGCAAATATCCAGATTGTGTGGTGCTTTTCTACTTCCTCAAAAGGAGACACTGTGAACGCAACTCCCTCGTTAGTTTTACCGACCGTCCATTTGGGAACTTTTATCCTGCCGCTCTTTTTCCAAACCGAAATGGCGGGAACCACTGAGGAGTATTACGGCCAAACTAAAAAGAAAAGAAAATGACACTTCCATTCTGAAGTTGGAATCTTATGAGACAGAACTTGTAATTCACAGTGGATAGGGAGGGAGCCCTGCTTTCAGTAGCAAAAATATGAGAGTAAATAACACCCCCCCCCAACAATATTTATAACTGCCTTACATATACCACAAGATGGTGACAGAGCACTGCTTTTCTTGAGACGGGGTTACGGCCTGACGAAATGGAGCTTCTCCATTCGCTTCAATATAATTTATAGCTTTAGCTTTTTTTCCCCCTCAGTGTTGAATTTTATTCGTGTAAAATTCTAGAAGATCATCATGTGTGACTTTTTCCTCATAAAATTACTTTTAAAAAAATCAATTCATTTTTTTAACTTGAAAATAGTGTAGTTCAAGTATAGCAAGTATTTTAAAAAAAATTCTCCCTCAAATATTGGCCTTTATATAGTCAACATCTCTTAAATTATGTTTTTTATCAAGGCAAGAATGCTTTTTATCTGACAATATACTATTTTTGGGATGACTATACGACTATTCTTGGAAAGCTATAGCTAATCTTCAAATTCGGCAACTTAATATCCAGCAAAAAATATATATATATATTCGTAGAAAGACTCCATCTCAAATATATCCTACTTTTTGCTTGTAAAATTATGCAGTGATTGATTTTTTTTTTCTTTTTAGAGTGGCTCTAAAACTTCTTGGAATGAAACAGTCGTAACAGTCACGTTGGTTACGATTCGTCATGGTTGACGCTGTATTCCATGCTGTATTTCAAGTATTAGTTGGCACATTGTTTTTGAGGACTGCTGTGTCATCGAGAAAATGGAACCTTATGTTAGAATGAAAAACAAAGCATCCTTATCATGTTTTGTTTGAACGATCTGCTGTACTGTCCCGATGACATTGACTTGGCTGATTACTCGTTCTTCCTTAATTGTGTTGACGCTGTGCCTTCTGTTCCTCGTATGCTTTTTTTTTCTTTTTGTGGAACTGGATTTTCACAATAACACCCATTTAGTTTTGTACATTAGATTGTGAAAGAACCCAAGCAGGTCTTAAAAAAAAGAAAAAAAAAGCCATGAGAATGAGCAGCAGTTCAAAGTCATATTTATGTCGTCTGTTGTCATCACTGGAAGTTTTTATTCATGGCAGCCATGTTTTTTTTTTCTGGTAGCAAACTTGATTCCTAATAAAGTGATTGGTGAGCGAGAGGTTAAAGGCTGAATTTACAGTTCGTGTTTTGAAACATCTTTTGACTCTGTGCTGTGTGTGTGTGTGTGTCTACCTATAAACTGGATTTATTTTCTCAGTTCAAACATATTCATCGTTGCTGAATGAAAGTGGTTGGCAGCAAAAAAAAAAAGTGCCCCATATTGTTTACAACTTTTTCCCCAAAATATACTGTTTACTTATATATACACATACGTATACACATATATTTTTCATTCATTTCACAGAAACGCTGCATGAAAAGTTCATACAGCAAAGGTCATGGAAGGTAACCAGAGCAACAATGGTAAGCGACAACCTGAACAAATCAAAAGCACAACTGCACGTACCAGAGGTAGTAAGAGTCACAAGTATTATCTTCAATGCTAAATGGACTACATACCAGCAATGACAAGGAAGCAATAATTACGTTCAACACAAGTAAAATAAAGTAGCGACATACAATTCAAAACCGCACGTGCAAAAAGGACCCGAACGTGAACGAGACATTAAAATAAATTAGATACAAACGCTTGCGAGTTTGTGAAAAGGAATGCACTGCCTACCTTTCTCGGAGATTTGACACACGGAGGCTGCGACGCACCTTTCGTAGCGTGTCAAATCCAGAAACATCACGATCGTGCTTCGCGTGGACCGTTTTAAAATGCTTCTCCTGGCGCTCCGGATTCCAATTCTTTGACAATGCCATTGGTGAATTGAAAATCAAACTTTGAATGAGAATAAACACAAAAAAAAAAAAAAAATGCATCTCAACGGCTCTGATTGCTAGCTGCAATCGCAGACAGCTGACCGCTAATAACTTCCTGTGATACAGGTCATGAGCCGCTGGACTCTTATTTGATTTTATTTTTTGTACCCTGCTTTTTTGTTCGAGTTAAACTGAAGGGATGCTCAGGGTGCAGTAAACACTAACAAAAAAAAAATATAATATTAATAACACGCACACAGACGCACTCCCTTCTCACCTCGCGGTCGACTTGGAAGCAATCCAACGACTAACCTGTCGACCACGATCGACTGGTTGGGCACTCCTAGTCAATAATATTTATTATTATTATTACTAAGAAGTAAGAGTACAACTCGATTCCCCAGTTTCGGTTCCTACTCGGTGACGGTGTGGATGTGAGTGTGGTCTGCCTTTCGGACCGGAGTCAGCTGGGCTAGGCTTCAGCACCCGCCACCCAGTTCAGGATAAGAGGTGTTCAAGATGGATGATTCGCGGGTGTATAAATATATATTCAGGCTATGAAGTGACAATATTTATGCACAGTACAATTGTTGTTTTTACAGTGTGAGGCAAATAAAGAATAACAGGTGTGCGTTTCGGTTGTTTGGGTCCTGGGGCCAAAGCAAACAGAGGAGTCCTGTGTCGGAGCCACCCTGTCTCTCCAACGTATTCGCCTTACAACCAACTGTGTAAGTTGCCATGGAGATACATGACCACTCGGAGCGCAGCGTCCCTCTCCAAATAACTTGCGGAAAACGACTGCTTTGCTATTTCTTTACTCGAGACAGTCTTCCGTTCTGTCGCTGTCCACAAACTTGTGGACAGAATACGACGTCGTGCACGTTTCCCAAGTTGACTGATGCGCGACTGGTGCTCATTCATATGCAGTTAGGTGTGATGTTTGGTGATGTAGTGCCACCTTGTGGCAAAAATCCTCAATTACACATTGCTTTGGAAATCAAACTAATTTTGGGACATATTTGTCTTCCTTAAAAAAAAAAACATAATTTTTCTTCAAGTATGGAAAGTGTGTATCTGAAATGTGTTTTTTTTTCTAATGCCCCCAAACTGTATGTAAAGAAACAAACGCACATGCCTACATTTTGATATTTCTTAAAATTAGTTTTTCAAAAGTGGAAAATAACTTTAAAGTTGGTATCTGGCAAGTATATTAATTCCACAGAATGCATACAACTGCAAAATATGCTGCAAATGAAAACATAGTAATTTAAAAACATCTTATACATTCATCAACTCCGAACGTTGCAAAAAATACAAAAACGTGGAACTTTTCACTTAATTTGTCTTGATTGAAAAAAAGAGTAAGAAAACCAAACATTTATTTTTCAAAACGTGATCATTTGTGGGAACAAATTGGGTTACAGTACATACGCTTCATTGGACAGGGTAGCTTTGAAAGTAAAATTCTAATAAAATCATAGAGGCATATTTATGGTTGTATCCATTACGCAAAAAAAGAGAGCACCCCAAAATGTGAATTTTCAACGTTTATTTGCAATGAAAACTTAGCAGAGCATCAGAAAGGCTTTTGATTGTTAGTGACATCCATGTCAACTGTCGCTAAGTGAGTTTAAAAAGATGCCATGGTCAAGCACATTTGGCCGTAAGCATGCTGGCGACTGCTTGACCTCAGCGCATTTCATCATCATCGTAGTCATCTGCACGCCAGGGTAAGTGGAAGCAAAAGAACCGAAAAGCAGAAGCTTTCGCGCTTTTAGGGACACCTTGTCTTGTGTTGTTTGGTCACATCCGTGCGCAGCCCGTGATGTGAAGTGCCCAGTCAGTTCCTCAGCGGGAACGCTGGACCGATCAGCCCGGGGAGACGGGGGAAGTGGGTGAAGGGGGTCGGGGTCCTGAGGATGGGCTGATTTCGAGGCTTTGCCTTCATTTCGCCTTGGATTTTGGCTCCAGAGGTAGACCAATGTCCTTCCCGCGCAGCTTTAAGCCTGTTGCATAAATATCACAAACAGACACCTCACGTCACACATCGCAAGAAATAAAAATCCTGAACAAAATACATGTTTCAAAAGCACCCTCCGCGGCCTCCCCCCAAAAAAGTACGATCAAGCACGGTCAAACTAGTGATGAACCCTTTTGAAATTGTGTCCCTTGCCAAGCCCAGGCGGTCGTTACCGATGGCTCTCTCGATCTTCCCCATGACCTGGTTGCTGGGGATGGCTTTCCCGCTCTCGTAGTCGGCGATCACTTGCGGTTTCTCATTGATTTTCTGCGCACAGAGAGACCCAAGAATGGGTTATCGTGACCAACTGAAGCAAGTGTAGTCATGCATTTTGCATGGCGCCCTCACAGTGGCGAGGTCCTTCTGGGTGAATCCTTTCTCCTGGCGACCCTTCTGGATGACCTTGCCCACCTCCAAGGAGACCCTGTCGTGGTGCAGCTCTTCCGTCTCGCGATCCAGTTTGGCCGTGTTCTTGCTGACCAGGTGCTGTTTGTTCTGCCCCGCGGCCCCTGGAAATCAGAGCGCAGCAAACCGCGGCGACGGTTACCGGGGCAACGCTTTTATGACACGCTGCATTTTCATCGGCGAGGTTAGTTACATTTCTTGGTGGTCTCCACGTCCTCGCCGCGTCTCTGAGCAGAAGTGATCGCCTTCAGCAGAGGAATTTCAAAAATGAATGCTTAGAAGATATCAGTTTTTATTGCATCCTTTTTTTTTTATGACGACGACATGTCCAATGAGTCGTAATATGGCCTTTGGACTCAATACACATCTTAATAGCTAATCATTACTTCAAGTAGGACAGATAAAAACAAACAAGTACAAATGTTTTGTTTTTGTTGTTAACTGAAATGATTTTTCCCCCAACCTAATGAAATGATTAAAAACTGAAATAAAAACAATTAGCAACAGACATAGGCTATTCTAGAACTGGGATGAAAATATTTTTAAAAGGTGGTCGAAATTCATGACAGAGATACTACAGTTAAAAGAGCTGTGACAAAGGGGTTAATGAAGTGCAATAAAATACAAATAAAGAAAACTCTTTCATAATTAAAATAAATAGAGAATTATAATTAGAAATGACAGAAATAATAAAAATGACACATTTTCACCAAGATACAAAATAGCAGAAATATTTTTATTTATAAAAATTTGAAATAGTAATACACGTTTTAATAAAAGTGCAAAGAAAATTTGAAAAAATATGATTGATAAATAAGGACTTAAAATGAATAAAATAGAAATGTTAAGAATGGCAACATAACAGCAAATTATGATTAAAAACTGAAATAGGTTTGTGGTAATCATTAAAAAAATATAAATGAATAAAAATAGTTTTGAATAAAATGTTACATTGTTTGAAAAAAAATCGAAAATTATACAAAATAGTGACAACAATGCTAACAACAGTTATGAATCGTAATAAAATTGTATCCAAACAATGAACAACATATTGGCTGTAATTTATTCAAACACATTTTATCGAATTAATACATAACTAAATAAACAAAAACGTCAATGGCAGGAATATATTTAGAGGAGATAGTGTTGGCTAACGCTAACGAGTTAAAGTGATCATCAACTCATGAACGATCATTTTAGAAAACATCTCCATACAAAAACACCAAGCTTATTTTCGCTGTTTGTAAATCAGTTTTTTTTTTCTTGCTTCAGTGTAAAATGGGAAGAAAATAAAACGGAATATAAAATGGCTTGGTGTCATCAGAGACAGTGTTGGTTGCTGGTCTTGTTTTGTTAGCAAATGTCGCCATGCTTCAAAAGCGGCGTAACTAGTTGCACTGGCTTATTCTGGACGTCAAACTAGTACACTCACCAAGTGCACGCCTCACATTTACGAACGTTGATATCATACAAACATATTCACAAGACTGTTGTTTTTATTTGTTGTGATTGTCATATCCGCGAAGAACTGCTAGCTCGGCGACTGACGAGATCGCTATTGATGACGTATGTCTATTTCATGGACTTTTTTTTTTAAACTTTGTATATTAAGATTTAGATGTGACTGTGCTCTAATTAACCCACCCAAAACGGAATAGAAATGACGTGATACCTGCTTGGACTTGGCCTGAGCACCGCTCGGCCCCTTCTTCCTCAACACAGTCACGGTGTCCCAGTCGCTTTCCGCCATTTTCTTCGCTATGTGGAGTATGAAGGCTCAAAATATAAAAATAACGTGGGGAAAAGGCGACTTTTTCGCTGCTATTTGTGGCTACCACACGCACGCGTCGTGTTGTCCTTCTAAAACTATCAAGCACCACGCATGCTTCACAAAGCTTTATTGACACCACGAGAGTTGGACAAGAGTCACGTCAGGCAGAGGCAGGGTAACCGTAAAACACGTCAGAGTATCTACCATATTGGATGTGGCAGATCCATGCATAAACCAGTACTTCAGTTTCAGAAAGTGATGCGTGGGCAAAAGTACAAGTCTCTCAGGTCATATCCTTCCTTGTCAGAGGTCACCAGTTACAAGACATCTCGGAGGCGGCATCGCTGTTTCTTCGCGTGCGTATGGGCGACCAACATATCTCGGACTGCGCGTCGTCGGCCAGGAGAGCACGGCCCCGGCGGTAGCAGTGTTTGGAGGTCTGCCTCCCTGACCACACACGAGGCTTTGGGTTCATCTGACAAAGAAACTGTCATTAGTTATGCCTGAATTATCACCTCCGCCGAGCACACGTTAAATGTCGTCCAGAGATTTTGTTCCACATCACTCGGTCAGTTCAACAGAAGATAGTAGGTTCCTCAGTTACAGTCCCATCCAAAAGTATTTGAGCGGCAAGGTTCATGCCTTTCTTTTTGGCGTTGGTGTTGGATGTAGCCACTCAGCATTTTTCACGAGCCATAGTTTTGTTGTTGTATAATAGGAGTTACGCTGCCCCCTGTGAGCAGTGACATTAGTAAAAGGTTTCACGTATAGATAGCTGAGCAAGCACAAAGCGAAGGCCTATCTTCAATAGGTTTATCAGCCAGTCAGCCAAAACAGATGTAGAGAATAAACAGGAATAGTTTCAGGAATATGAAATATGAGCACGTGAGTGGACTTTCTGTTGTATCAACGTTTGTTATGATCTCACCTGAACAAAAACAGACGTGTTCATGTTCAGACTCTCCACGCGCTCTGTCAAGTGATTCAACCACTCCACATGATCACTCAGAGACTGAGAAAGATCACTGTCGCCCTGCACACAAAATCATATCACATTTTTCATACAATATTCACCCAAAGTACGAGTGCTGTTGGTTCGGCTTGCTCACTGCAGACAAGTTGTCCTTGAGCTCAACGGCAGCCAGGCGGATGTGCTCCAGTTTGTCAATCTGCTCTTTGAGGCGGTCGTCAAGTTCCTGCATCATCATCAGGGCTTCGTCAGCTCTCAAGGCCACCTTAGCCATGCTGCCTGACACCCCGATGCCCTGTTAACCTGTCATTATTGGATAGGAAGAGGGATTTTTAAAGAGTGGTACGTGTCCTTCCAGTGAAGTAAATTTTTGGGGGTACCCTTCCGTTTTCTTTTCCTAATAAGTACAAATGTAACTGCATTTACTCTTCAAGAACATCTTTAAAAAATATTTATTTAGGGTACAATTGTTTTATTTATCGATGTGCAATACATTTTACTGAATTGAACTCACTGAACCATTAAATAAGTACAATCGACTACTGCATGCTCTCGGCTCGGTACCCGATTATTCTCATATTCTTTTTCATTTTGTTTTTGACATATCACTGCTTTTATGCACGTGTGTAGGCACTGTACGAGTAAATTCACATTTAGATGACAGTCTACAGTTTAAAAAAAATGTGATATACTACAATGGGTGAAACTGTTAGCTACTCCTAATATTTAGTCCTTCCATGTGACTAAATGAAGGTATCTCGTACAAATTTGATTTTTCCACTTAGGCAATGTTATCCACGCTGCCGATGCCTTTCTTGCAAAAGTTGTTGGAAAATCACATTTATTTTACCGTAACGTTGCTGTCTGGTGACAAGATTTAGCTCTGTCGTAACGACTTTAACGGCAGTTTAGTTCGCAATGTTACAGCAACCGTGGACGTTTCTCATCGCGGATTTAACTTCGATACTTTGTAATGCCTGGAGTGAAAAGCACACGTCTGCTCGAAAGAACGATCTGTTAATCGGAATATACGCAAATTCCGGAGAGTAAATCGCGTATGAAACGCAAATGGTTCACTTCAAAGCGGTGTAATTTCTGACTTTGTCAGTGGTTCGTAGCGAGTTAAAAACGGTGTGCTCAAGTAAAACAAACAAAACCAAAATACTAAGACTTACCGTGTTCTATCGGATTTACAATAAATCAACGACTCCACGACGTTCCCTTACAGTCAGAAGTAGGTCTTCGTCCAGACAAGTTTTTTGTGGCAAAAAAATGTGAAGAACGGCACATTTGACGTCACACACAAAAACTGTAGGTGTGTTTTCTTGTATGACAGTAACAGCAAAAAAAAAGAAAAAAGCCCCGTTATTTTGAAGCTGATCACTGACACTTTAAAATACTTTATACAAATAAAGACCTTAAAATGAGAATAAGATCATATTTACCTTGTATATTTTTTCAAATTTACAATCTGACGTTTCAATGCCCACTGAGCACAAGGTTGAGCCCGACACCGAATGAACTCAAATATATAAGACTCAACAAGAGTACATGTTAGGAAATCACAACTGCTTTATTTCTTTTTCTTTCTATAAGCTTTTTTTTTTTTCTTAAACAAGGGCGCATAATGAACAACTATCTGAAAAGGATAAAAGATATCGTCGGGTAGGATAAATAGAATACTGGGATCAGCTGTGTAGAAAGCACTGGTCCTTTTGACAAGAAAAAAAATTAAATATGAATCTTTAAAAGTACAACCAAAAAAACAAAAAAAAAGTTGGGGCAACATTTTTGGTGCGAGCGAGCACGGAGCACTTTTTGCAGGAAGAAAAACAAAAAATAAACACTCCCAAAAGTTGGACAACTGTCAGGTAATGTAAAGTCTGCCGTGTGAATCTAAAGCAGGGGTGGAGAACCTTTATTTTTTCAACTCTGAAATTCATGAAAAAAAAAGTTTTGAGGTTTAATTTTTTTTTTTTTTACAGGATTTGGTTTTCAGGATTGCATGAATGGCCCGGCAGTGGGTTCCCCACCCTTGCTTTGAAATCCCTGTTCCCAAATGAAATGTGGATTCTATGTTGCGCACACGCACACACCATGATAAAGGGGTTTTTAGTGTCATGGAAGGGTACAGTACAGTTAAAGCAGACTCACTGAATTAACCAGCTATGACTTTGTGAGAGGCCATTAAAAACAAGAAAAATGAACAAAAATTATTTCACATTTTTTTTCTTCAAAAGAGCAAAAACAGAAAAAAAATCTTCGTAGTACAATGTGCAAGCAATTCTCACCTTTTCTCAACGGTTGTCATGGAAATATTAAGTTAGAATTGGACCATGGTTGCTGCGTTTACTGCTTGTGCCACACAGATAAGATGGCTGAACGTATCGGGTGACTGAAAAGTCTTGGAAAAACAAAAGGGAGCCTTTTGCCTATGTTCTGTCAATTTGAGTCCTCAAAGAGTCATGGGAGGCCATTTTAATTCTTCCGAACATCATGTAAGTCGATACACTTAAAGTGGCCTCCCCCAGAAACTGAGGACTTAAAATGACATTCTGAGGAACTACAAATGGTGCTCTCGGGGGTAGGTCGGGGTGCATCAAGGGGCCTTTTTATCATTATTCAGTATTTGGGATATTTAGTATCAAATGCCATCAGAGGGCTGTTTATGGACCCACGTGCCACAGTTTGCCCACCCATGATTTAAAAAAAGTGTCATATGTAACACCCAGAGACAATTGGAGTTCACAAGTTCAGCGTGGAAGCAACATGAATTTTGGGAAAGGGGGGAACAAAACAAAAACATCTCACCATTTTGTACAGCAGAGACACAAGTGTAAAAGGAAACTTTTTTTTCTTTTCTTTTTTTTTTTTTAAGAAATAATGTCTATAAATCTACACGTGTAGCCACGGGTTCATGGCAATTTGATGTCCACATGCAATGTTTTGCTTTTTCTTGTTCCTGTAATTAGAAAACCCCCATTGCAGATGACAAGAGCTTGGAACTTAATTATCAACAAACAAAGGGGAGGAAAAGTGCCCCAACTGTATTGGGATTGGTTTTAAAAATGTCCAAGTGACTGTCCGTTACCCGGCAGTTACATACCGTTTGGCAAAAAACAGTGCGCACAAATGAAGCAGGCATTTACAGGTGGCGGTGGGGGGAAAAAAATAAATAAAGAGGACTGTGTGGAGATCTGCTTTTAAAAGGCTGTATCTATGTATATATTTATATATACAGTGTGTCGAGATAGTTCCTATATATATATATATATATATATATATATATATATATATATATATATATAAAAATCTCGAAGTCTTACATTGTGGTGTGAAGTCATAAGCGTCTGGGTCAATGGGAGGAATTGTTGATGGTGCTTGTGTTGGAAGGCTCAGACATTGTGCAAGAAGCTTGTGTGTTCGTAGGCTGGGTGGTGATGACCATTCTTTTCTTCATTTTCTTTTGTCTTTTGAATCTATTTTGTTTGAGGTCCACAATTGAAGACTTATGCCTTGCCCTCTTCCACTTTCACCGCCTGGGGTTTGATGGCGCCCGTGCGCGGCAGCTTGGTGTGCCCGGCGGAGGTGAGGGAGTCTTGGAGCTTGCTGGTCATCCCTCCCGTTGGCACCTGGCCCTCACCCACGGCTATGCGCACCTCTCGCACGGGTTTACACTGCGCCAAGAAGAAGGCAGAGTGAGTTTTAAAGCCACTCCGTGCATCCCTTATTTATTTGCATGGACGTTATTGTAATTGGGTTGCAAAAACAGCAGATACTCTGTGGTAAAACAGAACTCAACCTAAAAATTCAAGGAAAAAAATGGTGAAACATTCAAAACCAGTGCAATAGTACAACATACAGCATTGTACAACTTTTTATTTACATCTTGCTTTTCGCTCGGTTTATCAGTGATGACATTGATGACAACATTTAGTTTCCCGCTATAAGCTGGTTCATCTTTTATGGCCCATCTTCAAACAACTGTTGGGACGTAGGAGTCAACTAGTTGTGCGGATATGCACTATTTGTGCCCCCGTAAAAAGTGGTGGTGGTGGCTGGGTGGGGGCTGTATACTTCAAATCCTACCTGAAAAGCATTTGTAACTTCCATGAAGTTCTACAGTTCTCAAATACACACTACAAACATATTTGAATCAATGAACCATCAATAATATTCCGAATGGCATTTCTGAGACTGTCACAGCAAACACAATCAATGCGTATACAGCTTAAAAAAAATAAAATAAAAATAAAAAAAGAAGATGAAATGAAATTACCTATCTTTACAGTGGGTGGCTCACCTTCATGCCATCCTCGGGCCCCTTGATGGGGGGCTCGGGGGCCGAGGGAGGGGTGGAGTGGGAGAGATCTCGGCCAGGATTGGGGTAAGGGGGTGAGCGGATGATGACCGGTTTGTTGACCTGCATGACTGGTCTCTGGATGGGGCTGGGGAAGGGGCCGCTGGTGGGGGGACGCATGTGCATCACTAAGCCGCCCTGAGCAGGTGAGACCCGATGGTCACGGGAGGGTGGTTGGCGATGCAATCAGGCATTGAAAAGGGCCGAAAGAAGCAAGAGTTAATCATCCATCTTGATGTCAAAACAGTAACAAGCATATCAAGTGGAATCTTGAGTTCCGAACGACCCTTTTACCAACTTCTCGAATGAGGCACACATTTTTTGGGGTGCTATTTTACCGTCGTTGGCTCCGTGTGTAATTCATTGCGACAGTTGTGCTGGGTTCTTTACTTTTATAGTATGTGTGTACATCTCATAAGATGTACATCACAGAATTTGGGGGCTGGAATGGATTAATTGCATTTCCATGGGATAGGTTACCTTGATTTATGAACGTTTCGAGTTACAAATGGGAAAGGAATTAAGTTCATAACTCGGGGTACCGCCGAATTATTCATTCTTGTTCAATTCCACGAAGGAATTATGAATTAAAAGTTGTACCTGTTGTGGATAATGATGGGTGGGCAATGGTCCAACTGGGCCTCCGGGGCCAGAAGGTTTTCCACTCGGGCTAGCGGAACCAGGCCTGATGAGGAGCAAGAGGGAACAAAGTTGGACCATCAACGTTTTCTCAATCATCGCCATTATTACTGACGCAGTTCACCTGCACTCACCTGTAGGAGCCTCCAGGCATGCCTGGTGAATGATTTGGCTTCTCTGAAAATTGGAAACCTTTCATTTCCATCTGGGAGCCCTAAAATTTAACCAAATGATGAGGACAAAACATCACTTGAGGAAACGGAGAGACTGCCTCATTTCTGAGTATGTTGCACGATATTCTGTGGAGTGGGTTTTGGTGTGTGTTCAACTTTGGATGTTTTCATAATCTAGTGTGTGTGTGTGTGTGTGTGTGTGTGAGAGAGAGAGACACACACCTCTCTGCTACCCGGCATGACAGGCGGTTGAGAGCCAGGTGGCATCATTCGGCGTGGCCCTCCCACTGAGAGATTCTGGCCTTGCTGTAGCTGGATGGACTGAGGGAGGATGAGGTGTTGCTGGGCGGAGCCGTAGCGCACCTGGGATCCAGGCAAGGGCATGGTCACCTTGTGAAAAGAAGAGGAAACCTTGAAATGAATGCTGAATGAATTGTGATGAAAAGTTGAAGCATTTCTGTCATGAATCCCAAAAACCAGACCTGGATAAGTTGAGAGTCCATCAGCTGTGACGATCCCATGCTGGGCCCCTGGTTCAGCTGGCTGTCATAGACGAGCTGCTGGCTGCCGGTCATGGGCTGATAGTGCGAGCCCGACGAGGACTTGACAATGTCTGATGGCTGCATGCCAGGGAACGGCGAGTAGGGCCCCTTTAGCGGAGCTCCACCCGACAGCACCATGGGGCTGGGCTGCGACAGGTTGGGGTGCATATACACCTGCGACCTACACAAAGCAAGGCGGCATCATGCGCGAGATGACACGCACACGTGCGAGCGCACGCATGCATGCGCACACACAACTTAGGTAGCCAGAGACACACGAAACTAGATAAGGCTCCACTCGATACCTGAAGGGGGGAATAGAGTTGAACATCTCCTGGGACTGAGAGACAGGCAGGCCTCCTCTAAGACCCAACTGAGCCTGAGCCTGAAGAGACGTGTGCAACGGGATAGGGATCTGCTGGGCTGCCGCCTGAATGTATGCACACGTCAAACATGAAGAGCATTTCGGAGACAACACGCACGCAACACACACAGACACAAGTCCGTGATAATGTGCGTGTGCATACTTGTTGGTAGGTTTGCTGCTGAGTCATCGTGGGTGGAACCAAGCGAGGTTGACTGGGGAAGACGTGACCATCCAAATACAACGGGGGAATATGACTACCTAAAAGAAAGTAAAATGAGGTTCGGTGAATATGATGTTCACAAGTTGAGCAATATTTTACCTTTACTTGAAAATGAATTTCAGCTCCAAATATCAGTCCCCTTGACAACTAATAATCGGTAACATCCCTAAAAAAAAACAAAAAAACATCCTAGTCTAGCTTTAGCTGTACCTTGCAAGGACATGGACGGTGCTACAGACGCCACGGGCATAGGAGGCATGGAGACCCCCCCAAAAGAGCCGTAACTGACGCCGCTGGACGAACCCACACTGCATGGTGGTGGCACTCCCGAGGCCCCTCCGCTGGGAGAGCCCTGCTCAGGAAGGGACTGCGAGTTCTCCCAAGCCTTACGCGCCGACTCCATCTGAAAACGGAAAAGCGTTGCGCGTTCTGATCAAGATGAGGCTGAGGACGGCTGTGCCAGGGCTGAAATGGCATCTCTGCAGTCAACATCTCAAAAACAATGTATTGACCGATTGTAGCTTGACCTGTCATGATTATGAATAGAATATTAGTTGTCATACCTTGAGGGTGAGGTCGGTACTTGGAAAGGAAAGCGGGTTGAGGTTTATGCCGGGTTGCAGGTGGTTGGATCGGAGCATGGGGATAGTCTGAAAGAAGAAGATGTGCGCCCATCAGCTTAGACAGTCACTCCAGAGGCATTTTAGTAGGAACAATGAGTTCAAGTTCACCACTCACATTGGCGGTGAGGGGATCTTGAAGCTTGTTGACGGGGTTTGACACGGGCACCGGGCTGGAACCTGGCGGCAGGCTAAAGTCAGAGTCCTTGGCGCTGACGCCAAACTCGATGGGGGGCACGGGGAGGACGGCGTCCACATGGAGGTCCACGCCGTTGACCGGGTTGATGGGGCCACCTTCCAGGCGATCCACTGCCTCGGAGCCCTTGCGGTGCTTTAGGGAGCGCTCGTTCCCGATGGGCCCCGGTTTGTGCTGCTCTTTGCTCTGCTCTGGGCCTGCGTCGGAGTCCTTGAACCAAAAAAAAAAAAAAAAGAGGCTTAGCATTTCTCTCAGAAATTTGTTTCCATACGAAGCCATCGTGCGGTACCTCAGAGTTGGGCTCGCTGCCAGCGTAAGACACCTGCTTTGTCCATGAGTCTCCCCCTGAGGACTGTACAGCCCTTGCGGTGCTTTAGGGGGCGCTCGTTCCCGATGGGCCCCGGTTTGTGCTGCTCTTTGCTCTGCTCTGGGCCTGCGTCGGAGTCCTTGAACCAAAAAAAAAAAAAAAAAGAGGCTTAGCATTTCTCTCAGAAATTTGTTTCCATACGAAGCCATCGTGCGGTACCTCAGAGTTGGGCTCGCTGCCAGCGTAAGACACCTGCTTTGTCCATGAGTCTCCCCCTGAGGACTGTACTGAAAGAGCTTGGAAATAAACAAAATGAGATGATGTAAAGGTAATCATTTCATGTACGGCTGTGACTAACAAATCTTTTTACAATCAATTATCCTATTGATTATTCGAGTGTTAATTCAATTAAAAAAGGCCAATTTAAAGCTGCGTCGTCGTTCCCTCGAGCAGCTGCCGCGGTGCCGTCACACGGGCCATATTACCATGTTCAAGTCTCCCAGTTCTGCTACAACAACAAACTCTAGGGGAGCTCCATGAGCATGTTGCCGGAAGACAGCGTATCGAGACATGCATTTTTGTTGCAGACAAAACCAAGTCGTTCGATGTTTTTCCCCAGCCCTAATTTCAAGCATTATTCCAGAGTGGTGCGACCCGCATTGAACTAACTTACCAGAGCTGTTGGTCTCCCAGATTTCTGTACCCAAATTACTGGAGGAAAGAGTCTCTTCTGGTTGTTCGATGCTCATGGCTCCCTGCTTCTTGGCGAAACGCGGTGGTATCTTGGATGCGACCGACCTGTTCTTCACTGGCACCTAATGCAGGAATTTAGCAAAAAAGGTGTCAGAACTCTTTTCGTATCCTTTTCACGAATTGATGGTTTGAACTTACGGCAACTCCTTGATCCTTCCTCCGCCTATCGTCAGCTTGTGGACGTCTTTGTTTTTTGGACAACGCATCATGGTAAGTGTCTGGATTAGAAACCGGTCCCCCGGCATCTTCCTCAACTACAACACAGGAACATATTAAGTCTAAGTCGATTTCAAGAGGGGAGGCATTGTCATGTCATCCATTTTAGGGTTCATCACTCACTTGGGTAGGCACTGAGCTCATACTGGGAAAGTGGCTCCACGATATCGGGTTTAATGGGACCTGACTTGTCAAAGTTCTTTCCTGAGGACTCATTCAGCTCCCGCCCATCTGACTGATCAGTGCCATAGGCAGGGCCCGACTCATCTGGGTTCCTACTAGGGGGAAAAAAAAAAAAATTGATGGCACACCACAAACTCTGTTAACGTCTAGGAAGAAAACGTTTTAGGGTGCAAGTATTGGTTGATACAAGCTTCCGGTTCCTCACCTCTTACAAGAGGTCCCTCCATTCTGCCAGGCGTCATTCCTGTTTGAGGGAGCAGACTGCGGGTTATCAGGTGCACGTGCCATCTTACTGGTCTCCAGCACTGAGGGCTCTCCTTTCCTGTTCTGGCGTTCAATCAGCGGCCTCTGGCTGGAGAAGCTTCGTTTGGAAAGCTCCCTCTTCTCAATGGAGCCCGCTTCACCGTGGCACGCGTCCGAGAGAACGTCGGCGTGTCCCTGCGTAGGCGTGCCACCGCCGGCCACGCGCTTCCCCCTCCAATCGCTGAAGTCACTGTTGTCCGATCCCGTGTCCCATTCCTCTGTCTGAGCAAGCTGGCCACTGCGTCCTCCAGGGTAGGGGCCGTTGGGCCACTTGTCTTCCCCACTGCCTTTGGGGCGACCAGGCCAAGGGCTTGTTAAGTCTCCATTGATGTATTCGTCACTGGTCCACTGGTTGGAACCAGGCTCACGTTCTTGCTGCAGGCGACGGAAGCGCGGGGGCTTGTCTTGACGCGGGGGGCGTCGCCTCCTCAGCACCTGCCTGTCAGGGTTATCGGGGTCAAAGTAGTATTCCCCCTCACGGTCCTCTGAGCCGTTTTCTAGGAAAGAGCCGGTAAATTTTGTGGGGTACTTCAGAGACTCGCGCTCAGCAGGGAGTTTACGGGAGAAAGCGGTGTCAGCGCCGGGACCATAACCGTTTTCTTGCATGGAACCACCGCTGCTACCAAATTGAGGACCACGACCCCTCCACGTGGACATCTCTCTGGAGCCTCCGTAACCTCTGGTATAGTTTCCAGTATTCAGTCTGGGAGGCAGCATGCGACCTCCAAAGCCTCTGCTCGCCTTGGCTTTTTCTTTGCCATCGGCAGCGACCTGGTCTTCAGCATACACCTTGTTGGATCGCCAAGACTCGCGATCGGCTTTGCGAGTTTCTCCAGCAGAGTCAGCGTAGACTTCCCCATTTTCGGAGCCTTTCTGTCGCCGTCTCTTGGGCAGCTCCTCATACTCGGAGGTTTCACTTAGTGTCTCGCTCACGTTGCGTCTTCGCGGCTTGCCTCTCTGGAACTCTTCCAGCTTCAGCTCTCTGGGTTGGGCTCGACCTCTCCCTGCACGCAGAGCGTGACCGACACCGTTGTTGTAGCCGCTTCTGACGTTGTCTCCGCCTCTGACGCTGCGGCCTCCACCCCGAGAATTGAAATCCCTAAAACCTCGACTGCGGCCTCTTCCGGATCCCCTGACCGCACCAAAGGCCTGTTCTTCATCGATGAAGATCCAGTTGTTACGACGTGGTGCCTGAGGCTCCGCGTTTTCCAAAACATCTCGTGGCGGCTGGAATTTGTTGGTGTCCCAGACGCTGTCCCTTGGGGAATCATCACTATGATGAATTACTGGAGGCCGCTCCACTTTAGCAGGACCCGGGGACTGACGCTGCCTTTCTTCAGGCTGTTTCTCCACCACGGGTGACCCAGAGGACCGATTGCTGACGGACTGGTTGTCCTTCTTTAAGTCATAGACATTGGTCAGGACTTCCTTCTCCAGACGGTAGGGGACAGCCTTTTCTTCTGGCTCAGGTTTGGGCTTCTCATTCTCCTTGTCTTCAACTTTCAGAGCCTTGAGAACTGGTTTCTTAATTGGCCCGGTTCTGCGTAACAAAGTACGGCCAGTGGTCTCTAACGGCTGGCTGGCACCGATACTGGAATCGGACCCTCCGTCTCGTTTCCAGTTGTCTTTCGAACCATCAAAGCTCTCATCGTGAGAATCACCATCCTTCAGATGGGGGTCTTTGGAGTCTTGTTTTGGGTATTTGTTATCCGCATGATGCTGGGTGTGAATCGGAGCGCCGGTCAGCAGCCCCTGGTCGTGGTGGTCTCGGTCCGAGGCTCGACTCTGGAAAGTGTGATGTTGCAGGTCATCCTGTGGGTGTGTCAGGCCCTCGCTGGACCTTTCCTCATAAATGTCCTGCTGTGAGGAGGCCCTGTCGCTTCTGCCGAAAAAAGATACAACAGAACATCTTTGAGAGATTTTGGAAACAGCAGATAGTATTGTGGCAATTATTATTGTTACTTCATCTATAGAACAGAAAAATGCACTGAAACAGCAAAGAGGAACTGACCGGTCATCAAGCAGACTGCTGTCCTGGTTTTCATGCTGCCTTTGGTAAGGTGGAGTGAAGCTGCGCATGGGGTAGCCATCTTGGCTCCAAACGGGATACGGCTCAGTGGAAGGGGTCCTTCGCTCTTGGTGCAGGTTGGGATGACCTTCGTCGGAACTGGGACTGGTCAGGCGATCTTGTTGTATCAGCGGTTTCATCATTCCTGCGGAGAAAAAAAAAAATCTTTGAGAACCATCGAGATAAACCACGGCATTATATTGAGCAGTTGGTAGTACTCACCAGAGGAGTGGATCGTACTGGGATAGTAGTCGACGGGAGATCTTCCTTGGCTGACGCGGGGGTCCATGAAAGGTGGCATCATCATCCAACGGGGATCAAAGCCAAGGACATGCGGGGGATAGTAGCCCCGTTGTGTGTGGCTCGAGCCAGATGAAGCTTGATGGCCCGACTGCTGCCAATGCTGTATTTTGTAGACCTGCTCCTGCAGAACGGACATGACAAATGAAGCCTACGTATTTGCCAGGAAACTACTCATGCCCAGAACACAATGTTCCTGGAAAATCAAATTACAGCTTCACCGATGAATCCAAGTGGGGAGTCCTATCTAATGTTGTAAACAAATTTCGAATGCTGTATTTAATCTGAGTTACGGGAATCACGCTTGAATTCACCTGCTGCTGGTGCTGTAGGGGCGGTTTCTGAAAGCGGGGCGGAACAGGCTTTGCGGCATGGCGTCCGCTGTAATCTCCAGAAGGAGAAGAGGGCTCCTGGATGTCATCCTCGCAGCTGCGATAAGCGGGGAATATGAGCTCCTCGCGGAAGCTCGGGCTGGGGGAGTTGTCAGAGGAGCACTCATCTGGAGAACAAGAATCCCATCATTAAAATATTTTCGATTTACTATCCAAAGGTGACCTCTCTTTCATTTGCTACCTTTTGCATTGTACACGCAGTTGTCATGGTGGGCTTTATTAGGATCCCTGTTGGGAGACAAGGGGATTTCTTTGCCCTCTCCATCTTTGTGGCCGTCCTCCGTACTTGAGGCTTGCCTTTCAGTCTTGCCAAATTTCTCATCCAGCTTTTTGAGTTTCTCCGCACAGGCCGCCAAGCGTTCTTCGCGGGCGCGCCGCTCTTCCTCCTCGCGACGCCTGCGGGCCCTCTCCACAGCCTCAGACAGCTCAGGTGACACAAACTTTGCCCTCGCTGGGGGCTGTGATTGCCGCTGGTGGTCTTCTGGGTCAAGCGCCGGCTCGCCGTGGTTCTTCTGTTGGGACTGAAGGCAGAATAGAGTTATTTATGAGCAAAGCCTTCCAGCCATCCCCCAATTATATAATTAGATGCATCGTCAGCATATAAAAACACAACATTGACAAGGTGGGAGAAGTGAGCGTCCAAAATGAAACCCTTGTCCCAGCATTGTAAGGTAGCCTTACATTTCACCTCACTCCAAAAGTTAAAAATAAATAAATAAATATCTTGGTAGCCTGTCACAGCGTCATGGGGAAAAAAAATCTTGTATTTCTTCAGGCAGTGTAAAAAGGGACGATTGGTTGGAACAATGGTGTTGTTTGCATAATCTCTTCAAAAATCGAATAGTCCACAAGAGACGTATGAGTAAAGGGAAGCAATAAAGGGCTAAAAGAGCCAAGATCATGAGTTCCTCTCAGCAAAGAAATCCCAAGAGAGACAGAGAGTCAAAAGGGCACATGATGTGTAGTTAACCTGGGGGTCCGCAGAGAGATATCTGCTGTTAGTCTTCCTCGGAGGCTCCTGGTGTTGGTAAGAATAATTCTCTTCAGGGCCATCACTCAAGCTGAGTGATGACGGGCAGTCGCGTCGATTCTCCCTGTCCCACTCAGCCCTGGAAAATTTGAAAGACATTGTGTCAGTAAAAACAAAGTGTAAAAAGGGGAAAATACAGGTCGAGTCACTCTGAGCTGCAAAATTATACAAGTTATATGACTGGTGCAATTACAGCTACTCACCACATCTTGTTTTTATCACTGGCTGAATGTTCATCTTCATCATCACTGAACTTGAGCTTCTCACTGTAATCAACTTCTTCATGGAGACCTGCAATAAAGACAAGCACCACAGGTCAGCAAAAACGAAGTACGTAGGCTACTGGGGATAAGAATAGGGGAGAAAAAAAAAAGACTTTTTTTTAATGGATTGTCATTCAGTGATGGAAGGGCAGACTGGAATACTGATAAAATGCATGGCAGCAGACTCCCTTAAGCCTCTTCTACCAGATATCAGCCTTTGTTTTTCTCAAATACATATTTATATACATGTAAGATGAAAGTAAGTTGCTCAACAAAGATAGATTCCCAACCGACACCAACATGAATGCCGTCAGATTTCAGGGAGGACATAAGAGGGATTAACGTTGTATGTACCAGCCCATCCATCTTCACAGTCATTGTCGAGGTCATCCAGATCCTTCAGGTCTTCGGGGTTAATGATGGCGGGTCTTTGTGGTCGGTCGCCGGGTCGACGGATCGGCTGGGAGGAGAGTCGGTGCGGCCCGCGGACAAATCGGTTCTCTCTTCGAATGTCACCACTAGTGGGTAAGGACACATTTAGCCTCGGGGCAACAGACAGGGGAGCTGGCACGCAGCTGATGTACTTACTTGAGAAGTTCAGGTTTAGCGTAAGTCTGTCGAAAAGTGGATTTGCTGTCGAATCGGGCTGGTGCCGCTACAGTAGCAGACACGTGGTCTGTACCTGAATTCTCACGCGTCTCTTTGGAGCACATCTGTTAACAGCGGTATGATGTGCGGTTAAAGCACACACCGTCACCTCTTGATCATAAATGTTCTGGGCACTTACAAAAGCGGGCAGCATGTCATGGTAGACGGCATTGGAAGTGTGGTGGAGCTGATGCTGCAGGGCTGACGGCACCGCTGTTCTGCGCAGAGGCTGAGCGGGACGCAGGGAGGGTTCCTTGGGGTCCGCGCTCGGCGGTTGTGCCGCTGCCGCCGCTGCCACGACGACGCTAGATGAGGCGGCGCTGGTGGCGGAAGAGGGGTGGGACGCGGCAGGAGGGGTTCCCGTCTCCCCCGGGGCGGTATTTTTGCCCTCAGGTTCCACTGGCGAGCCGAGGGTCAGGGATGAGGGCTGGAGGTTCCTGCCGCCTCCCTCCCTCCAGCTGGTCACATCTTGACACGGACAGAGCGCAGTTCAATAACAGCATTTGACAAACTACGTGCGTAGGTGCTAGGCTTGGGGAGTAACGTAATACATGCACCAGCGTTACTTGTTTCGATACAAATTCACTCCTGAACCGATGTGGCGAGGGCGAAACATACTCTGCGGGCGGAGGCTTGGTCCGGGCCCATACGACGGATCGTAGCCGCTTCTTTCCTTGCCAGCCTTGTCCTGTTCTCCAGCGGCCTTCAGTGTGGGAAATTCCTCGTGAGAGAAGGGCTGAAGTCGGTTTAAGGCCCTTGAACCTGTTGGGTTGCCACACAGAGAAAGCTCTGTAGACCAGAGTAGATTTCCAGCCCAAGTGAGAGCTGACTCACCATCTTGCTCTACTGCCTTTCCATTTAGCTGGGCCCATTGCTTTGGTCCACCTGTGTTTGTGTTCTGTGGAATGGAAAAAAACGGAACCCCCCCAGCAGGGATATTTGAGACCGACCGCTGACACCATTTTTCCACGGCGCAGTACTGATTTTAGAGTGCGTCCTTGGTCAACAATAGAGTTTGGTTCCTACGACAGCGACGTCGCCCTAATTTGTCAGAATCACGTAGACGCTCCTATGGATACTAGCTGAGTTAAAACACACTTCCAGTAAATGTGTATGAAAAACAACTCAAGAGCAAAGGTGATAATTAGAACAAGCAAATGAAAATGAAAGTACGGTTGTAACAGAGCGTGGTGACATTCTTATGCCGCTGGACAAACTAGCTCATCGCGCATCGTTCGTAATGTCACTTCAGGACTGTCGTAAAGAGATGCTTCTCTCAAAAAAACAAAACAGATGCCACAATAAGAACCAGCAGTACATGAAAATCGAGAGACATAAGACATCATCAAAAATGTGCCTGTCAAAAAATGACAAAGGTTTCATTCCTAAAAAGTATATTTGACATTATTGTAAGTCGGTGTAAAATTATGCGCATTATACAGTTTGAATATTAACAATGCAGTAAAATATGGGGCAGGGAGGACTGCACGACATGATTCAATTCAAATGCATCAGACACAATTGAAATAAAAAAATGCACCCAAACAATTAGTTCTTCAAGATTAAAGGCAAACGTATTGAACTTTACAGCTAAATACAAGAAGATTGTGGACCACGCTGACAATCTCTGTGCCAGATCAACAAATATACGCACCTCCGGGTTGGCTACTGGGGGAGGCTTCTGAAGATTGGAGACAGATTTCTGTGAAGCCGGCTGCAGCTGCGACTCCGGCAGCTGAGGTATTGATGCAACAGAACTACAAATACAAGAAAAAGAACAAACCCCGTTAACGACCGTGCGATAAGACACCGGGGGGACGTTACCAACGATCCCCTCTTACCTCTTTTGATCGGGTTGTTCTGGCTTGTTTGCCCATCCTGTGCCGTCTTTCGGGACAATAATCACGTTGGGATCGTTTCCTTTGTTTTCAGACTTCAGGCTCGGTAGGTGAGCGGGCGGGGGCATGCGCCGGGCTGCGGCCACTTTGCCAAGACTCTGCAAGCCATGTCGCGGAACTGATGGCGAGAGTCATGCAGTTAAGGTCCAAGAGGAGGACATGTAGCTCAAGGCCGTGTTCACCCATAAAAACGACGTTAGTGCTATAACTCATTTGAATATGTGACACAGAAAACGGCATTGTTGTTTTGTGTCTTTGGTCGCAATATGAAAAAAAAAAAAAAAAAGCGCTGACCAATTGGGTGACTGATGTGTCCAAGTCGACCAAACTTTTGCGCAAGATTTTTTTTTCTTTAAAAAGATTAACTCAATTACTTTGAGTTTTCATCAATGTTAAAATGTTTGTGTGAATACAAGTGATACAAACAAATGTGAACACAGCCTAAAATGTTAGGTAGCAATATCAAAATAAAACAAGGTACCTGAGTTTTTCTGAGTTTCTATTGATTTTCCCTTGTACTTGTCAAACAGGCTGAGTGAGGAGTACTTGCTTTTCCCATCCTTGGACTTGGTTATTTGCCCCAAACGATCGGACATTGCGATGTAATGTCATCGAGTATGGAAATTTGTCTTTGCGCCTCTTCCCAGTGCTTTTCTTATTCTACATGGAAGAACAAGAGTGGAAATATAATATAAAAAAACAAAACTCCAGGAACATTTCAGCCATAATGCCAATAAAAATTGAGATAAAACTTCACATTTCACTAGATTTAGTAACCAGATACAAAATTTGGAAACATATTTCTTGCAATATGTTAACCATAATTCCTTTAACTCATATCAACACTTAAGGTGGAAATAAAGGGCCAACCACCTCTCATTTGCTCGTATTATCTCCATGGCAAATATTGTGGCAATCAGAGGTTGACATGCATTACATAAAATCACAAATATCTGACTTTTTTTCCCCAAAACGATTAGGCTTTGCATGGCTGACTTAAATGAGCAAGAAGTGAGCAGCCTATGTGCAAAAAAAAATAAAAATTGGAGTGCAATTAATTAACAAGCAAAAATACTGCTGTTCTAGCTAACAGCCCGAAGCAGAATGAGACAATGTGCAATCTCAGAAAACGTCGTCCACTTTGAGTCAAATGAACGCTTTTTCCTCGAGTCCATTTAAACATCTTTGCAGTGACAGATCGGGGAGCATTATGACGTCACATATCGACGCTAACTCGATGACAGCTAGCTCCTGTCATGTGCTTGACGTTAAACCTTCATTTTTAACCTCGAATCGGCCGGGCTGTCTGGGAAAACGACATCTTAGCCTGCCGAAACGGTGGAGGCTGTATTCAAAAGCAGCTAAGTGAGCAGGCCGCAGAACAAACATGTTTGTCAAACTGCCGGGCTAGCGCAATAGAAGCGGAGCGTGACAAGTTAGCGCACAAGAAATGCGAATCTTTTTTTTTTTCCTGGACAACTGCGCGACGATCTCTTAGTCAAAGCATAAGACAAATGTTCACTTACGTTTTTATGTGTGTTTGTGTGTGACAAAACTGGCACCGAATGAACGTCCGGCTATGACGCGAACTGCCGATGCTAACCTGGCGGCTAATAGAAAATGGCTATGTAAACATCCAAGCACTTGTAAGGTTCTTGGGTTGTCAAAATAAAAACACGGGCCGCGATAAGACGGTGTACATAATCCAACAAGCTGTGGTTATTTAAGGGGAATGTTGGGAGGAAATTATTCATGGGGAAAACCACGATCACTTTGGGTTTAGAGTGTTTCAAATACGAGCCTTAAAACACAGGCCGGGGACATTCAGTACTGTATTCGGTTGACCGTAAAAAGACGACGATATTCCCGGGAAGCTGCGCGTTTGGAAGCCCGGAACGAGTCACTCCCAAGCGGGGGCCATTTCCCGAGGGCGGGGGCGAAAGGCACCGAGGCCAACCTTCAGGACAAGACGATTAAAAATGGCTGCTGCCCAAAAAGAACAAAGCGACAATAAAACTGTAGCGGAGGGAAAGACGGGCTGGCGAAACGTCACTCGGACGGCGGCGCCGCCGACGACGACTCATAACTTACCGTTTCGACGTCTGTGTGTGCCTTGTGTCCAGCGGCAGGAGTCTAATGTCCGCGAAATGTCGTCTACTGGAAGGATGGACGGGGATTGTGAAGCGGAAACCCAATGTTTCCTAGGATTCACTAGTATGAGAGGTTCGTTGCTGGGATCGCACCCGGCCTGCGAATGAAGGTTGGGGCCAGTAGAGAGGAAGGGAGGCTGCACAGCCGACGCTCTGTGCGTCTGACGTCAGCGGACGACGTCAAACTCCACTCATTACGAGATCACGAAAAACATTTAATCAGGGACATTTAAAGTCAGTACCATAACTATATACACATGATCATGAGAATAGCAATAATCATTATAATGTGATATTATGTGTATATTGCCCGAGTCCTATTTTTTTTGCGCGGATTCCAAATCTGCCCTTGTTTTTTTTTTCTGTAGCACACCAGGCTTCATTAACAATGACAATAATAACAGTGATAATCCAAAAAAAGCACTAAGATGTTATAAAGTAATATATTTACATTTTTTATGAATTAAAGGTTAGGTTCAGCAACAGGTAGAACGTCAGCTATAAATTAGTACGCATGGGTAAAATACAGTACGTGTTGTGCACGCTTTTACAGGTCAAACCTAAAAACAAAAAATGAAAATATCTCCCAAAGCTGAAGCGCAACAGAAAAAATAAGATATTTTGCAAATACATTGTCAAAATACATTTAGTTTGACGTTGAGTGATGCTTGAATGCCAGCAGTGTAATATATTCACATTTTAATTCTTATTTGATTCTACAGATGTATTTATTTATTTGTTTATTATGCTGTCCAATGGTGCATATCGTCAGTATCATAAACTAGAGGAGGGTTGTGCATGTAAAAAACATTTATCTGAACAGAAATATTAAAGCATCACTGGCAGCTTCTGAATTGAGGTCGAAAAGGACGTGCGTGTCCATGTTATCTCCACTAGGGGGGAACATTGCCCCATCTGTTCTGCGCTTGTGGTCAACAGAAGCACACGTGCTTTTTATAGATCAGTTTTAAGTACTGTATTGTACTTGCTGGAAATCCTTTTCTTATCTTCATCTTTTAGGAAGTCTTCCTTAGATAAAGCACTTCATTTATGAAAATATATCATGCAAAAGTGACCCCTCGCTACTACAACTTTCCTGTGGTAAAAGTTAGGATTTAATTTTTTGTTGTTGTTTTTTTTAACTCCATAATTTGAAGAGTTCCTATTCAATATTCCCTCCTCATAAATCTGGGACTTTATTTTCACAAAAAAAAAAAAAATCGATGTGTTGTGAATATACACGATACACTTTTTAGTGACAGTAATATTCCAAAGCAATGATCATGTGTTGTGAGCTTTTCATATGCTCGAGACACAACAGTAGATGAGTGTAGCGTCTGCGAGGACCAAAAACACACAAAAAGATATTCGAGACACAGGCTTTACACAAGACCTCGATATAGGGGAGAAAAAAAAAAAAAAACACAACAGCCCCAGACTATTTTGTGAAGAGATGTGTGGTGAGTTTTCAGTTCTGTAGTTACCTCATCGTCATTTCCTGGCAGGGTGTCTGAATGTTGCCACACAGGAAACATCCTTGCAAGTTGCAGCATCAGAAACCACAACGAAGACACGTTTCACCGACTTCCATCTTTGTTTAATAACGAGATGGCTCTGAGAAAAACAGTAAAAACACATCATACCTGGACAGAACACATTTCGGCGATGTTTCGGGTCGTTTTGCTACTTTGTACGTACACTCGTGAAAACAGCAGGTTGGGCTCTATCAGATTAAAGAGAAAAAAAGTTTCCAAAGAATATTTTATGCTAACATGCACTCTGGCACAACAGTTGTGGAGCTTTGTTTTTTACGGCTCAGCCCTTTAGTCCATGAACACAATTGCCAAATAACACTGAAAGTAAGGAACATGAATAAAATTAAAGAAAAAATATGAATGAGAGAAGAAGATTGTAAGAGATTCAGAGAGCAGATTGTGTGTTTTATAAATAATACAGGAATATTGGAGGCAGACTGAATAAAAGTAAATCTGAACCTCATTACAAGGAGGAAAATAAGGCGACATTTTAAAGTCATAATTTTATGGCAATAAATTGGCAACTTTTCTCGCAAAAGGTCCTCACATAATTGAGAGGAAAATAATCACTTCATAAGTACTACTAAATATATTCCTATATGACATATGATATTGTTATTATAGTATTATGGAAACCTGATGTGCTATAGAAAAGAAACAAGGGCAAATATAGAATCAGCACCAAAAAAAAAAAAATCAGCTAGAAAGGTTTAATTGTAGCTCGGATCAAAAAGTTGTAGTAAAAATGTGTTGAACAGGTTAAAAAAAATACTGCTTTAGAGGGTTAAGAAAAAAAAATCCCGTGTGAAATGACAGCAACAGTACGCGTCTATTTAAGGCCTTTCATGCAAACCTGCATTGAGAATGTGTCAACTGCAACCGGTGAAGTCCTATAGCGCAGCAGCGCAGTCAGGAGAAGGGGCTCCAGCTGAGGGTCCCAATAGAGATGAGAGTCTGACAAGTGTTGGAGGACAGCCACACCGTCTCCATGAGGCCGAAGTGGAAGAGGCCCAGGGCGAAGCCGCACAGCACGTCCGTCAGATGGTGCCTGCCAAGCAGCACGCGCGACACCCCAACCAGGACGGCCCACAGCACCAGCAGGATGCGCAGGGGCACGGCCAGAACCAAGTGCGACAGCAGGAACTTGGACACCATGGCGGCGCGGCTGGCGTGCGCCGCCGGGAAGGCGTACGCGTCCATGACCACGCGGTCCAGGAAGCCCGGCGACATCTCCCACGGTCCTTTGCGCTTCACCAGGCGCTGCACGCCCGCCACCGTCAGCACATCCACGATCAGCGCTACCGTAAAACAAAACAAAGACTGAACTACCTATTTGATATGATCACATTGGACTTCAAGTTGACAATATTATAAATATTTATTTTGGGCCAGATTTTTTGGTCCCTCAAAGCTCGCAATAAATTAATTGCAGGCAGAACATTAGGCTGTTTTACAATACTTAGTCCTTCAATATTTGTTTAGAGCTGTAGATGTACTTCATGCTTTTAAGTTTACTTAAAGTATTCAACGTACTTCATGTTTTGAAGTTAATGTCCTCAATGCACTTCATGCTTGAAAGCAAATGTATTTAATGCCCTTCTTCGTGCCCTGACAAAACGTGGGCAAAACCATTGAGTGTACTTGACATGACAAGTGAGACAAAGGGAGGCGAAGCAGCACATGTAGCCTAGCAACATTAGCTCTGAGTGCACATAGCAGATGTTTCTTTTTTTAGCCGCACCAAAATATCGCAGTCAGTAAGACTCGTGGCCTTGTCGAATGTAGCCCGTCAGCTGTCTGACAGGTTAGCGTCGATTGCACGACACACATACAGAGCGTGTATTCGCTCCACGAGGCGCTCACTGGACACATCATTAGGTACACCTGACCTGACTATCTCATCTTACTTGTTAGCCATACACGTTTATATTTTGCTTACCTTATCAAGAGGTGAAAAAATATGAAGACCCTTTCACACTGCTTCTAAAAGTGGGAAAAGGACGCCTTTGACAAGCAGCGGAAAAGGGGCCGTAAATACTTTCCCACTGCTTGTCCCATTAATTTATGAGGATTCATTTATTTCCTAGTATTGAATTAGGGAATGAATGGATGCATGGCAGCGAAAAACAAAACAGTAATTTCCTTGGTCGAAGTAATAGCTCACACCAATATGCTCGTTTATCTACTTACATTTTACTGTACATGCCACTTGTGTACGCCTCACTTCCTTTTTTTTTTTTTTTTTGCGGTGGAAGAGCAAGGAGGTGGTGGTGAGATACCATTTTAAAGTGGCCATGCCAGCACAAAGTCCCACTCCACGCACTGGCTATGGAGTCAGACTCCCCCTCCACTATTCTATCTTGCTGAGCATGACACGCACACACTCAAGGCAGACGATGAGGCGCTCTGAAGCAGACCGCCAGCGCAAAAGTCATTGTCCGCACACCGGCTGTTGAGTCGTACACCAGCTCATTGCTATTACACCTCAAAAAGAAAGTATTTGCATGTTAGAAACAAATCTCTGAATTCACTTTACAGGGTCAGACTAGACTTGTATTACAATAGATGACTTATAACACTTGTATGACTGTTAGGAATGTTTAAATTCCCTGTCCGGTTAAAGATTTTCCAATGGTGACAGTTTGGCCCTGGAAGAGATGAATTCCATTTCCATTACCGTGTTCCCTATGGGTGGGAAAAAAAAAGTGTTTGCAGGTGTTAATCTGTCTGCCAGCCGCTTTGGTGGCAGGCTGCTTGTGTTCAGTGGATTTGGGCCCCTTAGACAAGCTTCCTACTGTGCACTTTTGCAAAACGAACTGCAGCAAGGAGAACCGACACACGTCTTAAGTTCTCTTCATGTCCAAATAATGGCTCCTGACCCGCTAGTTTTGTTTAGTTTAGTTTGAAACAAAAGCAGTGGAGGTGATAAGGATGGGAACGAACACATCAAGGTCTTCTCTCACAGTCGAATCGTGGTATTGTTGTTGTTGTTGAGGTGGATAATAGGGAGTGTGTTGTCTTATGAGGAACACAATCACCTGAAGATCTTTGTTTTACTTTGATATTGGGAAAGAAAAGTAACAATTCAAGCGAAGGCCCGGACTGGCCTCCAATCAGAGCGCCGTGTTGCTTCATTCAGCAGATTTGTCAAGCTTTCGGCTCACTAATCTGGTTTTGCCTCACCACTACAAAGGAGTGTTATGGCCACATTGAGAGAAGAAATCATGATTACACTAGGAGAGTGAGGAGAAAGTTTTACATGGGGGTGGGGGGAGGGGGGGAGAACAAGGGCAACTTATCACACTTGTATGTCTTGCAATCACTTGTATATTAAAGATTGCTGTTTAGAGGCAACCTTCAATTGCAGTAAATTCCCATGGAGCGTTTCCAACTTTTCGTCGAATAATGCGATCTTACACTGCCCAATGAGCGCGGCTGCCGCTGTCGTCACTCACCCAGCAGCAGGTTGACGAGCACCTCCTGACCGGCCAGGGTGTTGCTGCGCGTGAGGCACACGACGGTGCCGATGATCCAGGTAAGGCCGTGTCCGGTGAGCGCCAGCAGGTTGAACATGGAGCGGCAGCCGCCCCACGACGACCACGTGTAGGCGCAGACGCTCATGCGCTTGGAGAGGCTGATGTCGATGGCGAGCAGCGAGCTCTTGGCGATGCCCTTGAACGACGGGTTGAGCTGCATGCAGTCCTCCTCCGGCAGCCGCTGCTGGCCCGGCTCGCCGCGCTTGCCGCCGTCCGCCTTGGGCGCGCCGTCGCCGGTTTCCTCGCTCGCCTGGCTTCGGACGGAGCCGGAGCGCCTTGGTCCCCCTCCACCTGCGCCCGCTCCTGCTCCGCCGCCGCGGATCTCCGGGGGGCCCCCGCCTCTCATCGGCTGATTGAGCGACATGAACTCGGGTCTGTTCAGGACGCTGTTGCGTTCCCGAGCTCTGGGTCTCACGCTTGTTCCGGGCATGTTTTTGTTTGGACCTCTTCTCCGACCGACATGCAACGGTGATAATGGCTAAAAATAACCCCTACCCCACTTCCTCCACTGCCCTTAACAGATATATTTAGAGTGGGCGGAATGTGCAGTGGTCATGCTCCTCCGTCGTGGATGTAATCCGGCTTGAGGGCGACACTTGACACCAGCACACGAACCGCACTGTCCATCGCGACACTATTTACTTCCGGGTATGCGCCACAAGAATGCGCAAGAAAAAAAAAAACAATCGCCATCCAAACAGAAATAAAGGACAATAAAAGCGTTGCGGCGAGGCACCTCCCTTACTCCCTTACGCAACTGACGTAGCGGTTTGACGCAGAAGCTGATTTCAGGTCAGATGCGCACTGGGAAGGATCACAGGAGCGGAAGGAGTTCTCCAAGGTGCTTATCGAGGAACGTGGAAGATTTATTTCAACGAAAGAAAGTGGTGATACTTCAAGGGGAAAAAAACCTAACAAAGAGATCCGAACATTTTACTTTAGTCCTTAAAGCTGTACAATGGCTCCTAGTCCCAGAATAGATTTTAAAATTCTGCTACTGGTCCATAAATCATTCAATTTCTGAGTAGTTCACTGTATTATTCTATTTTATTCTACTTTTGTTGTACAGTAGAATAACACTGTTTGAAATAAATGAAAAAAAACATGTTAATAAAATGTCGAATTACTATATAATTAGCTTGTGTTGTCAGTACCAATGCTTTAAAACTGGCAATTATAAAGCAATGGGAAAAAATGGTTGCCGGTCCGCGAACAATGTACGTGTCCCAACTGGTCCTTGACAGAAAATAATGTTGGTGACCACTGACATTCAGCTTCCAAGCCGGGACTTTGTTTCCCAGCATGCCCTGCGCTCACATCGGAAGTGACGCGTTAAAGCGCATTATAAAGCCGCTTCCAAGAGCCTGCCGCGACTGAGTAGTCAGGAGACCAACGAACGGGTGAACCTGCCCAAGGCACCCGCCGCGCGGCGACGACAACTCGAACTCAACCGCTTCCTCCTCCACCACCTTCGTCTTTTTTTCATTCCGGCGACAGCTGACACCGCCTTTTCCTCCGCCGCTGTCAACATTTTACTCGTATTTGTGGGAAGCAAAAGAAATAAGTGGAAAGGTGGAACGGTGCGGAAGATGCGAGCGTTGGTTGCGGACGCGCACCTGGTGCTGCCTCATTCTACGTGGGAACTGCTTGGAATGGAAGAAACGATATTTCATATTTATATTTTAACACGAGAAAAGTTACGCTTCATTTTTGTGAGTGCATATTTTCTTTTTTTGAAAGCAATTCATGACTTGACTGAACCAAGAGAGGATTAAAAGGACACCACCGGCAGCGACAGATTTGGAGATTTTTTTTCCCCCCTTGAACGTTACACCAAATTGATTATTATTGTTATTTGGGATGGTTCTAGCCTCCATTTAACTGCCACGCAACTTGAGCGCGAGCGTTCGAAAAGTTTCTCTCGGTTACGTTTACGCGCGGGAACGCACGCCACACCACCTGAGAGTTTCTAGTTTCTTCAAAGTCGCAAGTTTCCCACCCTTGTGGGTTCGACCGAGGCTTTTTCGGACCCAGCGGCCCGTGACTTGTGCCACCGCCCCGATGCGTCTCCCCCCTACACAGGCGCTCCCGTGGATCTTGTTGTTGTGGACCGTCGTCGAGTGGCTCCCAGATGCGAGCGCCATGGGCTGCCTCCAGAGCATCGCGTGCAAGCCCAAAACCTTCCGAGACGGCGTCGCGGTGCTGCAGGTGAACGCGTCCATCGACTCCAACCCCACCAGCATCGACGAGTCGTCGGCCGTCATTCTGCGCTACCGCACGCCGTACTTCAGGGCCCAGGCCTTGGTGCTGGTGCCGCCGGTGGCCGCCAACGAGACGTGGACCGTCGGATGGATCCAAGCCTGCAACCACATGGAGTTCTACAACACATATGGCAGCAAGGGGATGTGAGTATCCAAAATGGATTTACTCAACTACAGAGAATACCAGGCAAAAACGGAATTGTGCGATTATTGCGACATGTTCATCGAAGGTGGTGATTCACAAAGTGGGGTAAGGATGAGGTCACTTCAGTGGTACGAATCACAGGCCAAGTACGGTTCAGGTGTCTTTCACTTTTTTTGTATCAATTTACTACATTATGCACAGTCAAGTCAAAAAAGTTCTTTACAGTAAGTTCTTTGCACCCCTGCCAGTCTAAACATGGTCTTCTCATTAATATTGCATATGTGGAATATGAATTAGGTCAAAAAAATGTTTTTAATCCGTTTCAGGGGCGGCCATTTTGCCAACTGAAGAACACGTCAAGTGCCCGAGGGCTCAGGTAACAACCAATCACGGTTCAAACTCAGAAAGCAGGTGTGCTGTGATTGGTCGTTAACTGACCCCTAATATTTGTGTTTTGAAAGGGTCATTATTGACTGTATGTAAACATTTCGTAGTAACTATGACTTGCAATAGCATTATTTTTATGAACCCTAACCTTATGTTGGCACTTTGAAGGCTCTATATTATAATTTTTTTTAGGTGGGATTTGCTGTAAAAGTTTGAGAAGTGATATAAAGTTTTGTTAGAGTACAAAACTGAATTTTAGCATCCGTAAACTAAGCTAGGATTAACCTACCAAAATGTCACAATTGATCAGTTTTACCCGAAGTTGAGATATCAAGTACTGCACAAAAAGTCCATTTTTAAGTAAAATGTACTCAAGAAATGGCACACAAGCAGCACTTATGCTGACGCGTGCAATTTCACATCCTTATATGTGGAATTGCACGCGTCAACAGAAACAGAAAAATTCTGTCTTGAGAATCACTGATTGACTTTACCGTTGAGGTCTTGCCAATGTAAAACTCTTTGGGTCCCCAAAAATTCATGTTAAAAAAAAAAAATTGTTTCCCCTGTATGTTAAAAGTCTGGGAAGAGTCAGTGGAGGAATCTCGAAACAGAACAGAACACACAATTATTACACGTGTGCATGAAAAGGGAACTGTATGCAAGGGTCCATAATATTTTTACTCATGCGCTTGCAGTTTCTAGCGAGGGCCCTCCCAATGATAGGAAGTGCTCTTGGTGGTGTCGCGGATGCCATTTTGAGCTCTCTTCAAAGTGAGGAACCAATATGAGCTGTGACATCCGGCATGGGGTGCCCACAAGTGGGTTGAGCATATGCCTTTATCGTCACGTTTCGCGTCAGGCCCAGCCAAGCGCTGCGCGTCCAAGATTAGAATTGCCTTGTTTTTTTTGACGACATACCGCGCACAACAGCCTCCTCCACATCGCTGCAGAGATACCGCCAGGGGAGGAACGTCTCTTGTCAAAATAGCTTCATTATCGCAAGTCATGGCTGCGCATTTAGCTGTCAAATATGTTTTTAGATGTTTTTTTTTTTTTTTTTCTTTCTGGCTCGAGTCATGCACATTTGCTGATGGAGTGAATTTGCTCACAGCTCGCAGGTCTGTCTCTGTGTGGCCCGCTCCCAAAAGGGCCGAGGTCCGGTACCAGTCCGCGGACCGGTGGTTGGGGAACCCCGCCACGAGACTCTTCAATGAATATGGCATGCATGTCATTTACATATGCTACTATTCATCAGTCATATTACAATTATACTTTTTTTCATCCATCCATCCATTTTCCGATCCGCTTTATCCTCATAAGGGTCGCGGGGGGTGCTGGAGTCTATCTCAGCCCCCAAAAATGACCACACTCCAGCTTGCATTTGGAATCAGAGTGTTAAAATTATGACCAAACTAGCTGCAGAAAGCCATCGAGACATAGTCGGTCGGGTATGAGTATGTAACATACACGGACGCTGTTGCATATGGATGCTGTTTGCGGGCTCTTTCTCACTTTGCAGTGTTTGCAAAGGCAACTCCCTTCTTATGAATTGTTTGTCAAAGCCCGGGGGGGTCGGGGGCGGGATTAGGGATACAGGATGGGGGGCTCATTTAGACAAATTTACTGAAACATGGCAGCTCAAAGGAACACGACAGAGCATCAGGCCACCAAATCCTCAAGATGCCAATAAATGCTCATAAGATTTACACTGGGAAAAAAAAAAAAGTACAAAAAAAAAGTCATTTTATTTCATGAAGTGGTTGCATAAAATAAAATCATCCTGATCCAGAAATATTCGAGTAGACGCATAGTCTACATCCAATTGATCAAATAACTCGAGTACTGTAAATTCAACACCATTTTTTTCAGTGTACATTGGAACCTGAAATTTACAAAGATCGCGCTCCGTTTGCACTGTCGCCGAACGAATTGAATGCGGTGACTCCTATTTTGAAGGCAGAATGAATACGTAGCAGGAGGGAAATGGGTTGTATTTGTTTTGGAGGCATGTGTTGGCGAGGATGAAATGGGTTTTCATATGCGCACGGACAGTGAACTCCACACACACACGCGCGCGCAGTTGTCATGCCTGACGTGATAATCTGGCCCGGCGGCAAAAAACGTGGACGTGAGGCGAGCAGGCAAGAAGTCATGTGGTTGCTGCTCACACATCTTTCACCACACGCGCATGCGGGAGCTGCTGATTCCAAATTATACTGGGGAGTGTTTTTGTTTTTGTCTTCACGCATTCTGGGAATATTTTAAAATGTCACCGGTCCATTAATTTAAATTTGCACGAATGACGGTGCATAGAGACAATTGTGTTATTTTCCTAACTCCAAACATGAAGATTGCATAGAAAGAGGTGTTTACATTTCAAAAGAGTAATAGTTGGAATAATAGCAAACAATGCAATTGATATTTCAAGTTCCATGCATTTATGCTTTTTTTTTTTTTTTTTTTTTTTTACATAACGCAGAGGAATTTTTAGAATATTAAAAGGATCAACAGCAAGGGCTGGATAAAGCAAAGGTTTGGCCACAAACAAGCAAAGTGAATTGAGCCGTTTCTGTCCGTCTTCCAGGTCGAGTTGGGAGCTCCCCGATCTTCGCAATGGCAACATACGGGCCATCAGCGACTCGGACGGCGTCAACTACCCCTGGTACGGAAACACCACGGAAACGTACACCATTGTGGGCCCCACGCGGCGGGACAGCAAGTTCTCGGTGAGCATGAACGACAACTTCAAACCCAGCATCACCTGGGCCGTGCCCGTCAGCGACAGCAACGTGGCTGAGCTCACCGCCATCCGCCGAGACCAGAGCTTCACCACCTGGCTGGTGGCCATCAACCGGGCCACGGACGAGACCCTGGTCCTGCAGACCGTCCGCTGGAGGATGCGCCTCCTCATCCGCGT